AGCTGCTCACCTCATGGTAGCCTGGGGAAAAGACAGAGCGGAGAGCCGGACTCACAAAACCCCTTTCAATGGCACACCCTCGATGACTTAGCTCCCTTCCACGAGGACCCACCACCTCCAAGCACCACAGGCTGGTGACTGAGCCTTACCCATGGGTGTTAGGGGACACTTATCCAAACCACAGCATTTCCTTAGCTGAAATCCTGCCAACCAAGTTCCAGGTCACTTCTCCCCTGCCCCTATCTCTCCAGCTGATGAACTTCCCTCACCAAGGCACATCTCAGGAAGGAGGCATCCCGTGAGTCCTCTCGTACTAGGAGGAAGGCGGGCTCCAATGTCACCCTCCCAAGAATCCACTGCATTGTGCTGATTTCTGGAACTGGGTGAACCGTGAGCTGTTCAACGTTGTAGACGAACCCCAAATCACTAGAAAACACACCCCCATCAGGTAGCCAAACCCTACTTCAACTTCCTATCCTTGGTTTGGAACCTCAAGGACCCACACACCCTCCCCAGGCTGTGGACTAGGTGAAGAGTCTTGCAGACCCACAGCATGTTTTGTATCTCCTGCCAGGTTTCTCCCTGTAACTGCCTGCTGAGGCCTGTGGGGATCTGGCTGTAGTTCAGGCCTAGGGACAGGGAGGGCCAGTGGGTTGGGACATGAAGAAATGTGGCTTGCCTGGTCACAGTAGATCCTTCTGGCAAGTTGTCACAGGATTTTCAGGAAGTTAAAAAGAAGTTCATCAATCAGAGAAAGAAACTACTGTCATTGATTGACAAGGAAGGCTCCTGGCATTGATCACAGACAATGCCAGTTCTTATAGCCTCATTTCTCCCTAGCCAATGCTGAGTGTTACACTGAAGTGATAATCGGGCAAATCACAGGACCAAAATTTGAGCATGGATTTTAGCGCCCTGGGCAGTGATCAGGTTTTCGCCCCTTCTCTCCGAATATAACTTCAATCTATTTCTTTAAGCATTTCTCCTTCAAAGTGTGCAAAATGTTAAACTTTCTTAGTTGAGAGTAGCAGAGGGACATTGCAAGAGAAGGAGACAGAGTTTCCTTGCAATTTCTGGCACAGACATGGGGAGGGCGCAGTTGCAGCCTCCATCKGGCGGACTATCAGTTTACAAATAGAATGATCCCGTACCAGAGGTACCGGATGGGGTGGGAGGTGGGGAATTGTCCTCATGCCTATGAGAGTACCAAATCTCATGCCTCAGTGGAAGACAGAGCCTGAAAGAAGAGCAGCTCTTAGAGGTGGCTGGTCATTGTGGGAGGAGGAAAGGTGACAAGGAAATAGGCAAAGGTGCAAGTAGGTGGGTGTTGGTGGAAGTTTCTAGAACATTCCAGTTTTCTCCATGAAACAGTAAGCAACACTCACTGGCTCAGAGTAAGGATGGGGGAGAGAGTACTGGAGATTTGAGGACAGAAAGGAACCTAGTCTTCTGGGAGGTTAGGAGAGAGGCCACGTTGGAAAAGGAGAMGCAGAACTGGTGGGCTGGGGGTGGCAGAGTCGGTGCCACAACACTGTTGTGGTGGGTCTTCAGGGAGGGCCTGGGAGCAGCAAAGAGGCCATCTGCATAGCCCCTGTCCAGAGGTAAGGGGGAGGAGGGAAGAAAACAGCAGAACCCTGAGATGACACCTGGGAGGGCTAGACGCCAGGGAGAATGAGAAAGGAAGAGAAGAGGTTGAGGTGAAGATGATGAGACTGAGTTCCAGAAGGCATGGTGAGTTCCAGAAGGTTCCAGAAAGCACAGTAGAAATGTTTGGGGATCTGGTGAGTAGCCATAAGTGGCTACTCTGGCTCATGACAGGCTATCAGCAAGGGTTTCTGGAAGGTTGGAGAACCACATCTGAAAAACAGGCAGAAGTAAGGCCACCACCAAAAACATAATGCACGACCAAGCCTGTGAGGACACCCTGCAGCAGCTGACTGCTGAGGGCCAGGGGCTATGCCATGCCTGCCAGTGGCTGCAGTCCCTSAAACTGCTGTCCAAGACTCTTCTCCTGCTAAGACTCTTCAAGTCTGGGCTGGTGCATCTGATTTGGTGCACCTAGTTCACAGGCTGTGGGCCAAGATTTGAGGCAGGCAAAAACAAGCACATGACGTTTTTGAATTCTAATGTCAGAGGACTCTTTCTTCTTCCAGGATTCACGTGTGTGAATCTAGGGTGGGTCTGTCTTATGGGGGCTTTTACAACACAGAACTTGATTCCAGTCACATAAGCAGATGGGATTACTAAGGACACCAATAACTCACAGAACCTTAGCGGGATGCGACACAGGTTTGGAAACTCTATAACCAAGAATGACACAATGAAAACAGAGTATGCCATGGTGTCATTTTAACAAAGCCTTCCCTCGGACACCTGCTGGACACCGAGTCCACTCAGGACCAGACTGAAGCTCCATCTCAGCCTCCCTAGAAAAGCTATTGCTAGTTCCAGCCCCACAGCTGCACCTCTGCTTGCCCCTTCCCATGCCCAAATCTCAGGCCAGCACACCCAACTGGCAGAGCCCATGTCACATGACTAGCATCGGGGGAGCCCGGGAAATGCTGTGCTTGAGGCAGACTCAAAATATTTGAACCACCAAAGGAAATCCCCAACAAAAAGTAAGGAGCTCAAGGAAACATGTTGAGTTCCATATAAGTTCTTGGAGAGTTTAGTGATTGACACCAGGTGTCATCTATGATTTTCACAATTAGCCATGTTTTATGATTTCATACTGTCACCTAAAACACATTTCATAAAATTCGATGACCAGAAATCATAGTTAGGATTTGCATTTCAAAAAGACATCCAGCTCCCATACCCCATCTGAGTGAGCCCTTATCTCCAGAACCTTGGGCAGCAGAACTCAAAAAGGCAGAGCACAGTGAAGCACAAGGAGACCTTTAATCTGTGCCTGAGCATTTCACTCCTGCAACTCACAAGGCACTGTAAACATTCCAGACCAGAGCAGCTAGTTAACTGCTCCTGAATAAACAGAAGGTCCATGTGAGAGCACCACAGCTTTCTCTCAACCAAAGACGATTCGCCTTTGRAAGTAGAGTGTCTTATTTTTTCTTCTCAAAAGGGGGATTTATGAAGTCCAGTTCTGTAGACTTGTTTTTCATCTTCACTTTGCTACTTTTACAGACAAATTCAGGTATTCACAAATAATACTCTACCAGAGTTCAGATACAGGCAACAGGAATCACTGCAGCTATTCCAAACAGAAAGAGAAGGAAAGAGTTGAATAGGGTAGAAAGTCCCACAAAATCTTTGAAAGAAATGTAGTAGTCAGCTCCAAGCTGGGCCTTTAAGAGAACACCTCCCAACTAGAAGCTACTACCTTTGCCCCACTGGAAAAGAATTAAAGAACACAAGGCCAGTGGAGGGTGTCAGCAAGAATTTCAAGTTTCGTAGCAATTGAGTTGACAGGGTGCCACCTAGCAAGGTGTGAGCTCTCCTGGGAGGAGCAGGTGAGGGAGGAGGGAAAGGATCAAGAGTTCTGCTGTAGTCACGGTGCACTGCAGATACCTATTAGACATTCAGGAGGTGTTAAATACGAAGTTGGATGTGCAAATCTGGAGCCCAGAGGAAAGTCTTAAGTTTGAGATTTGAATTTAAGAGGTTGCATACTCTATGGGTCAGGCTGCAATTTGCTCTCTCTTTTTAGAAAACTCATGTTGACCTTTGAGATGACCAACTTCTAGAGAAGTTACTGTATTCCCTTCTTTATCTCTCTTTCAGACTTTAAGCCCAGGTTAATCCACCTCTTCCCTCCCAAGCTCCACTGACAGTGCTCTGAAACATATCACTCAGCATCATCCACATCCAAAATCAAAGTCTCTTTTTTTCAGTTCTTGTTGCAATAACTGACATTGTTCATAACTTTGCCCTTAGATGTGAATCTCAGAAAACCCCAATAACTGTCCCAGGTAGGATTCTAGAAGAGGCTATGAAGCAGGAGAAGGAAACATTCACACAGCTAAGTACCAACCAACCCAAAGTAAGCCCATTTGTCTTAATCTGATTGGTGGTTGCCAGACCCCAAGACTGCTGTAGAACTCTTGATTTCAGTAAGGCCTCTGACAGTCTCACAAGTCTTGTGACTACATGGTGGAAGGTGTCTTTGATTAATTCAGATGACACATTTGAAAGTGAGGTCTCTATCATGTGTGTCCTCAGTCCCTGGAAGTGAGGAGAGAATACCAAGCCCGTTTTTATTTTCAGAGCTGCATTACACAGGAGAGCTCCAACAACCCTGACACAAGGGTGGACGCCTGACCCATGAAGTTTTAGTGAAACATAAACGAGCCAACAGTGTGGAAATTGGTTTGCCCATTTCTTAGGGAGGTTAATTTCAAGCCGAATGTGCAAACGGGAAATGGATCAAATTTATGTCTTCTATACCTCAAGAGACTGGAGCTGAAGTAGCCCGGCTGGCATGACTAGAGCAATACCTTTTATTCTAGAAACACATGAGAGGAGCCTGCGACCAGTGGTAGTCAGGATAGTGAAGTGTCTGGAAGCATACCTACCAGATCTAGAAAAGACTTCAGCAAAAGTCAGACCTTTACTAGATATGCTAGTCAGGCTCCAAATATCGAATGTGAAAGTGTTTGGACATGTGTGTGTACACACACACACACACACACACACACACACACACACACCTTTCAATCTCCCCCAAGGGACTGTACCCTCCCCCCATGTCCCCAACTCCTTCTCAGGTGAGTCTCCTCCTAGCACTGCCTGAAAATGGTAGAAGTCTGGAAAGTTCGCTGTCAACATGGGGAGGGGAGGGGAGGAGAGCTTGCATTTAGGCGTCATCTCCAGAGGCAGGATTTTGGGTCAAGGGTCAGGCGTTGGGAAGCAACGGAGACCGAGCCTCAGCAGAGTCCCAGTCAGATGCAACCTGGGCGGGGCCGGCTCAGGGGGCGGGTCCAGGGGCGTGGTGGAGGCGGGACCTGGGCGGGGCGGGGCTGGACACGGGGTTGGAGCTGGGAGGTCGGGTCCGGGGTGGCTCCGGTCCGGCGTCCAGGCCTTGGCGCTTTGTGTCTCTGTGCCCAGACCCCAGGCCGCCATGGCGCTGCGTGCGGTCGTGTTCGACCTTGATGGAGTGTTGGCGCTGCCCTCGGCCATCGGCTCCCTCGGCCGCGCCGAGGAGGCCCTGGCGCTGCCCAGGTAAGGGGACCCTGCGCCGCTGCCCTCCCTAGGTCGGGAGCAGGACCCCCCTGCTTTTTTTTTTTTTTTTTTAATGGATTTGCAGCCCTGGTTTCTGATTGCTTTAGGGCGAGGGCCCTTGAAAGGTTAAAATAATTACCTGGCTCTAAAATTCTAGGGTGTTAAAGTGGACCTATTGTCGTTTCATCCTAAGTAATTAAGCCTTGCTAAAAACTCCAGAATTGCCCATTATATTGAAAGCTTCTGAAAGCAAGAGGAATTACTCCCTGAGCTAAATTCTATCTGTTGGAATGGTTCATTAAAATATAAGAGAAGGAAGTTCTATCCTAAGGCCTGTGTGACAAGTGTACTTCCAGCGAACTACAGAAATAGCCCGTGGCCTACTCACTGGAAACTGGGAAATCAGGAAGAATCCACCAATGAATGTGAGCTCAGGGTGTGTTTCAAGGACAGCAGAAAATATCTTCTTATAATATGTGAAAACCTAAACCCACCAGATTGTAAAACTATTTATGTAACATGGTTTCGACTGTGGGGAAAAAGCTGCATGTAGAAAATGTCTAGAAGAAATATACCAAAATATCCCTGGCATTATTAATCTCCAGGTGGTATCATGAATGAGTTTATTTTATTTTTTTTAAACTTTTTGTATTTTCCAACACTTAGATTTACAAATGTGTTACTCCTACTATCAGTAGGGAGAGAAGCGTATTTATTTTTAAAAGTTAAAAAGAAAGAAAGTTAAGTAGGTCACCCTGGAAGAACTAAGAAAGAAAAAGAAGAGCAAATTGTATATTACTGGCTCGAGGAAGGAGCAGGGGGAAAGAGTGAAAGAAAGCTTTGCATTCTGGAGTTCCTTCCCATCTAAGGATTCTAGAATTGTTATGCTAATAAGGCCAACTGGGCTCTTTAACCTTTACCCTAAATAAACCATTAAAAGGCTAGTGTCTGCAAGAAGCCAGGCCAAAAGACAGCCCCAAATCTAGAGCAAACTCACTTTTACAGATGTGGAAACAGGCTTGGTAAGGGGATTAATTTGCTTCAGATTGCACAATGGTTAATCAAAGGCAGGTCTGGGGCCAGTTTTTCTGCCCCCCTCCCCCTCAATCTGGGATTCTTTCCTCTGGTTCATTATGATTTTGCACCTCTCTTGGCTGCTGTCATTCTGGGAAAGATCAATCTGTCCAGGGTGGGTAAACATTAATAGCTAAAAACAAAAATAAGCTGGCTACAGAGTCTACATCAGAATAATCATACGCAAAGAACTAGGGTTGGACAGGGAATCATATTTGAAAATGGAAAGCCACCTCTGAGCCATGCTTACCCAGTGCAAGTCATTGACTGGAAGGATAAACTGAGAAAGGGATAATGCTCTAATTTCTAAGTCCTTTCTCACAAATAAGAAATCCTTTTTTCACTTCATTTTGACACATACATTTGATTTTTTTTTTTTTTTTTTTTTTTAGAAATACACAAAGAGAATAAATAAGCTGTGAGGTTTGCTAGCTGTGAGGTCTGCTTGTACCTGTGACCTCACTGATGTAGAAGTGAGCATGGCTTCTGAGTATATGAGACACAGGTGTCCAGGTGGGGTCTACCTAGAAGAGCACTGGTCACTGGAGTCATACCCAAGTTCATATCTCAATTTTGACACTTCCTTTTGGGTAGCCTTGCTCAGCCTATTATAATTTTAGTCATCTGGCTGATAAAATAAGACAGTACTTTCTCCTATAAATTTTTATGAGTTGCATTAGATAACCTGTAAGGTTGAAGGGCAGCTATATTGATACATTTGTTTAATTACAAAAATTCCACGCATGTACAAATCAGTGCATTGACTTATGCTGTTTTTTTGGCGTTGTGCTGATGCACTCCCTTTGTGACCATTGTTAGGATTGTTCCCAGCTGCCCTAAAGCAGCCAACAGCAAAACTAGCTGAACTCAGGAGATCAGAGTGCATGACCTTGAGATTTGTGAACCAACCATGAAGGTATTAATTCGGAAGGTGAACGAGAAGGGCCTCCCTTGCACTGGTATGATAACTCAGAGTTCTCGGAAGACAGTGCCGAAAGAGGTGCAAAGTTCTAAGTGGTTCAAAGCAGGGAGGAGGAGGTCTGATCACTGGAATCAGGAGAGGCTTAAGTGTAGGAGGAAGATTGACAGGAGGTCGTCAGGGACTGTGAGGGGGCCCCTCCCAGATGAGGCGAGCAGAAGGTACACAGGCCAGGGGGTGGAAAGCCTGGAGTGTGAATGGGACACTGCATGCTGCAGCCTACCTGGAGAGAAGGGCCTGGAGAGGTGGCCGGACCCTCACGGGGTGCAGCCTGGAAGCCAGCGGATGAGCATGCCCCTACTTCCTGGCCAGTGGGGAGTCCTGGAAGGTTTCTGAGATGGGATRAAGAGGAAATAAAGTAATTGGAACTCTAATTCACAGCACACAATTGTCAGGGTGCTGGATCAGGTAAATTGATAGGGGCAAAAGACTGAGGGTTTGGGAGCTTGGAGRTGGACCAGTAATAGAATGATAGGACAGCCCTGTAATGTTGGAAATGGAGAGAACAAGAGCTTGAATTAGGAATCTGTGGGGTCATTGCCATGGAGGATGRAGGGCCCAGCTGAGATAAGAGGGAGCCTTGAGCCTGGTGCTGAGGCTTAAGGTAAGGAGCCCACAAGTCCTGGACACCCATAAATAACTGCTGAAGGCAGGGTCCTGGTCTCAGGTGCCATGAACTTTGGAAGTCAGAGGTTGTGGGAGGACTGGGTGCTAGATCTTCTAGCATCATGCAGCAGACAGAGTAAGGAAAAGAAGCTCTACCTTTGTGGCCATCTGGACCAGTGTCCTTGAGAGTTAGGGTGCTGGAAATGATGTTTTCTTTTTTTTTTTAATATTTGYTTTTTTAGTTCTTGACGAAYACAAGATCATTATTTTATTTTTATGTGGTGCTGAGGATTGAACCCAGCGCCCCGTGCATGCCAGGTGAGCGCACTACCGCTTGAGCCACATCCCCAGCCCCTGGAAATGATGTTTTCTTTTGCAGCCAAAACTGACTGAAGTGTTCTGAAGGAGTCAGTGTGGTCTCCCAAGGTTCCTATGACCTGTAGGCAGTTTTGTTTCTGTAGYGTTGGGGGTGGTGGTCCTGGGATTGAATCCTGTAGCAGGGTGCATCATCACTAAGCAATTTAGAGATTTTGAGACAGGGTCTTGCTAACTTGCCCCAGCTAGCCTCCAACTTGTCATCCTCCTGCCTCAGCCTCCCAAATCCCTGGGATCACAAGCATTCGGCACCATGCCTAGTCCATAGGAAGTTGTATGTGCATAATTGTATAATTGCTCAGASGGCATCATGGTGGAGGGTCTGTCCAGCACCACTAGACTAAAAAGTAGAGACGGTTAAGTTGTCAAATATCTTTTAAAAATTCATGCTACAGAATTCAGTAAATGTTCTTTTTAAAAAAATATATTTTTAGTTGTAGATAGATACACAGTATCTTTATTTATTTGTATGTGGTGCTGAGGATTGAACCCAGTGCCTCATACATGCAAGGCAAGCGCTTTCCCACTGAGCTACAGCCCCCGCCCTCAATAGATGTTCTTTGAGTGAGCTGGATAAGAGATYTTATTCTTAATACTGTTGTGGCACATTTGAAATAAATCACCAGGTCAGTCTTGAAGCAGGACATGGGACTTTATTYGCCTGTGGGTTGGAAGGGCAGCAAGCAAGTCATCTCTGCAACCTTCAGCCCCTTGAAGAAGGTAGGGTGCACTCTTAGAGCCTCCAAACCACCAACTACCAGTAAGTCAAAACCATAGCAACGTAGGGAATGGGTCAGAATAACCCTGGTCAGGGTACAGTATACTGTGCAAGAAAAATGGTAACTAAATGGAGAACATCTTACAAATGTGTTTCTTAATAATACATTGTATAAAAATAGAGGAAACATTTTTCTGCTGCCATGCATTGTCAAACAGGGCATGCTTAGCAGAAGGTGGCAGAGGCRGGGTTTTCTCATGGGAGAAACATTTCTTACGTGAAATGGAGTCTCAGGGTAAAAAGGAGTTTGTCTGGTCRAGGCACATCTAGTTTGACCCATAACAGTACAGTTAGGCAAAACTCGAAAGAGGGTCTGACAGTAGGGCTTAGGCGTATCTTGTGGCTGTTTCCGTGATATTTCCTGAATGCCTCCAGGATCTGCAGGTCAGCGCCCGGGCTTTCCGCTGCTCTTCACACCTCCAAGAGGTCATGTGCTCCTGAAGCATCTTCCCATTTTTAACTAAAAAAAAAAAAAAATGAATTTTGATTTCATAACTAATTTGTAAATAAAGYCTTATTATGAAAAGGATTCAGAGGGACACAGCAGACTGCCCTGAGGCACCTGTGCTGGGGAAGTGCCAAACCAGCCGAACTGGAGGGACCGCGTGCTGCCTGCCGCAGTGCCTGCCACACAGAAGGCGCTCCATAAGTATCTGTTGCAGGAACAAATGAGGCGGTAGAGGGAGAGACTGCCTCAACACAGCCCCTCTTTGTCTACCCTGAAGCCCCCCCAGGCCCACTTTCTACATGTGGTGTTTGCCAACGCTGGGTCTGAGCTTCCTCTGGGGTTTGGTGAGAACAATGAACTTGTCCCGTGATTGGACTCTCCTTTTTCTTTTTTCAAGTCAATACGTTCCCATTTACCTTCTGTCTCCAAGATTTTTTGAGGTTTTTATTTTAGTCTGATAATTCATATTTCTTGGGGTTTTTTTTTAGTACTATTGAAGCTTTGAGAAACCTTTTGATGTTATCTTTTGTAAAATCTTGTAACAGGGACTTAGAGTCCACTTTTGCTAAAAGCACTGACTCTTCACATGGGCCCACAGATGCCTGATGGGTAACTAACAGGATAAAAGTTTGGCATCTCTGCTTTCATTTTGTATATTTCCTTTTCCCCTTAAACTTTGGGTCAAGTTCCTGCTAAGCTCTGCACATAGATAAGTTAATTGCTTARGGAGTGTCTATTTTAAAACTGGCAGTACAGGTGGATTGTTTCTAGATTTACCTAACCTCTCTTGTTCCCTCCAAGGCTGAAGGCACCAAGATAGGAGTAACTAAGGTATTTTCAAGATTTTCAGGAACATTATAATTAACAGATTGTCAGCTGCCAGCTTTTACAATGTCCTGTGTCAGATCYCCTATGAAAGAAAAGTGGCAGGACTAATCACACACATACACCTGGGATAAAGATCGGGTTTATTGTCAGGAGCCTGCTCTGCGCAGAGAGCAGCAACTCCCCATTGATTGTTAATAGGCTAGAATCATGGCCGCGCATTAGGGGTGCAGTTAGTCTTGACCAACATTGTAAGCATCTCCTGATCTTGTGGAAGGCAAGTTTGTTTCTTGGGAACAGAGACAGGCAGTTTTCCTCTTTCAGAGGGAAACAGGGAAACTGACATGTCCCTTTATCTCCTCAAGGAGAGAACAGGGAAACCAGTGTGTCCCCATTTCAGGAGCCTGTAGGTTGTCCCCTATCTCTCAGTAAGAGAACAGGAAAGACTAGCACACCTCCAGGCCAGTAGATTCTATCTCGGGTTACTTTCTCTTTCTTGGGAATAAGAACAGTATTCATAGAGCAGGGTCTGGGCAAAAGGAACATGGCTGCAGTTATGCTAACACCCTAGAAGTCTCCAGTCATTGCCCTAAACCTGCCAGGAACACGGAGCCTTGCAGGCAGGTCACCCCTTGATGGCACTGCCTCCCCCSAAGTGGGACTAGTGACTTTGCTATGCAGTCTTCTTGCCCCATCCCAGTTCTTCCCTACTTAAACTTGAAGCTCATGTCRGCACCCCTGGAAGGCAGGGCTGAGGACGCCAGTCTCCTTGACTTCCCAGTGTGGCTATACTGAATATTAAATTCCTTCCCTACTTTGTCATTACTTTTTCATTTGGTTTCCTTTTGGGGCAAGGGGCCAGACCTGGTGTTTTGGGACTCCCCAAAGTCAGGGCACCCTGGCCTAGGACTCTGGAAACAATCTCAGTGGGATGATTGATCAGAAAGAGAAATAGATATATCCTGAGTTTGATATCTTGATACAATCTCTACTTTCTTAATTTTGCATATTTCAATGTTAATCAGTACATAAAGCTTGTGCCTGATACCTTTATTGTGATTGTGCCCATGTCAATATAAAAAGGGCTTTGTAGAGATGCCATTCTCTGAAGTGGTTTTATCAAGTCACACTCCCACCAGGAACGTAAGGGAACTCCAGTGAGTCCCACCACATTTCCATCCTGAATAGCACTGCCAGTCGGTCTAGTTCAGCCTTGCCCGTGGGCATGTGGTGGCAAGTCTTTGTGGTTTTAGTTTGGGTTTCCCTTGTGAAGAATGACGCTGAGCTTCTTTTCATATATTTATGAACCACAGTAATTCTGTTGAAGAATACACTTAGGTGATTCTCCCATTTTTTCCCCGAGTTAGTTTGCTCTCGTTGATGTTTGGGAATTTTTCACATATTCCTGAAACTGGGCCTTTGTCAGATGTACATACTGCAAAAGCCCCATGTCTCTGGTTTACTCATTCACGGTCTTGATGTCTTTGATGAACAGAAATCCTTCATTTTAATGACATCTAATTTATATATATATATATTTTATTACAATGAACACTTTTTGTGTCCTTTTAAGAAATCTTTACTTACCTAAAAGTCATATTCTACTTTCTTCTAAGGCTGGATTGACTTCGTTCCACATAGGTTTATGAACCATTTCAGGTTAATCTTTGTTTCTATAGTGTGAGGTGGGAGATTAGATGTCTTCCCCCCATGTGGAAGTCCAGTAGTTCCAACACCATTATTGAAGAAAAATTGTTTACTTTCAATTTTGGTGACTTCTTTGTTGAAAAATGAATTGACCTCATATATGGAGGTCTGGCRTCCCTTCTGTGTTGAGTTAATGAGTAAATCTATCTTTACATGTCACCTCCCTTGTTCTCTTATGAGTGCCCCAAGCAGACAGCCATATTTTTTCCATTTTTATATCTCAGSAGTTAGCACAATGCTTTGTATACCATAGGTGCTTAATAAAAGATCATTGAGTTGAATTGTGCATTGCTTCTTAAACCTGGAGGGCAGCTGCTGAAAAGCATGAAGAATGTTCTAGAACTGGAATAGGGTGGTGTTTGTACAACTCCATACATTTATTAAAAATTGTAAATTATACACTGAAAATGTGAATTTTGGTGATCTGTAATTCCAACTTATTAAAACTTAAAAAAAAACAACAAAAAAAACCCCTGATGGCCAGGGTGTGGCAGAGCCATTGCTGATACTGGGCAGTGGAGCAGTGTTAGATAAGTCTTTTTATAGTTTGTCCAGAGTTTATCATGTTACTTGCACAAGGGTTAGTCTTTTGAAAGGTACTTGGCTATTATCAGAAATGAAACTCCCAGGTTGGAGATCTCTGTTCTCTTTCTCTGGGGTGGTAAATAGTGTGGCTGTCTTACCATTCGCAGCTGATAAGAGCTAAGGCATATTCCTTGATTAGGGCTGCTGTGCACATAAGACAGACTGGTTGCCTTTAACAGGAGAGCAGCTCTGGAGGTGACTAGCCCATGGTCAAGGTGTCAGCAGGGGTCATTTCTTTGGAGGCCTTTCTCCTTGGCTGAGGATGGCCATCTTTTCTTGTGTCTCCCCATGATCTGCTTCTGTGCATATCTGTGTCCAAATTTTCTCTTCCTATAAGAATCCTGGTCATATGGGGTTAGGACCCACTCCAGTGACCTCTTTTAACTCATAATCTTATTAAAGACCMTGTCTCCAAACACAGGCACGGTGTGAGGGACCAGGGTTAGGACTTCAACCAGGGAATCTGGGGAGTTATAATTCAGCTCTCACCAAAAACTTTTTAAAGATGTAGACAATGAGATTAAGACAAAATAGAAATTACATGTACATCATCAAAACCAGAGAAGAACTATTTCTTTCCTTTCAATGAACGTGAACTAATGAAAAAGTTGTCCGGGACACTTCCTTAGGCAAATGAGCTGAGGACAGTATGACCCCGGTCCAGTTCTGACTCTCTTCCTTAACTGTAAAGCCGTGGCTCCACCGGCTCAATCTCCATGCAGGGCTGTCCCCCAGGCCGCTGCCCCTTCAGCCTATTTACCGTTTGGTTTACGTTGGGTGACACCGTGTGGACAGAGGGCCGCTGAACTCTAACCTCCCATCGCTGGCCGCTGTGAACATGAACCTGTCTGTCTCCCGCTGCTGCGAGGCGGATCATACCTGACCGTGGCATTTCTTGTGTCCCCCAGAGGCTTCCTGAATGACCCTTTCCTGAAGGAAGGCCTGGATGGCCCCATTGCTCGCCTCATGAAAGGACAGATCACGTTCTCCCAGGTGAGGGGACACCACGGGACCCTTGGGTAGGCGCACGCTGCTTGTTTCTGCCTTGCACCAGCCACCAAATCCCAAGGGCTGGACCACATCTTCCCCCAGTGTCATAATGTTCCGTCACCCCAGGACCACCCAGAAGGCCAGCAGACGTTGAAGGGGCATTTGGTCTATAATCTCTTTGACTACAGTCAAACCAGGGGGACGTCTCTGAGACCTTGAAGAACTATTCCAGGGAACTTTGTAGCCAGAGTAATTATTTTAGGACTGGGACTCTTAATTCAGTAACTACTAATAGTAGTACTTTGGAGTCAGAGACCAGAGTTTGAATCACAGGACCCACTTATAGACTGAGTGACCACACAAGTCACTTGATTTCTTAAATTCTCAATTTTGCCAAATTAGGACAATGATATTGTAGTAACATAACTATTGTAGTAACATGAAACATGGAAATGCTTAGCACAGTGCCTGGCCCGTAGTAAGTGCTCAAAGAACGGTAGTTATTCTTGTTACTACAACCTCAATTATTTTTTAACAAAGTAATCAGGCTCTAATTCCACTTGAATTCTCAATTACTGCTTCTCTAAGAAGAAACGCTATTGAGAATCTGCTTATAAGCACCCAGATTTAAAATTCTGTGTGTACATAATGTCTGTGAATTACAGCCAGCCATCACTCGCTCAGAGAACTTGGAGCCCTCACGATAGAAAGCAAAAGCCTGCCTTTTTCCGTGAAGGCCAATGTGGTATTATTATGGGGGTACTCTAGGCACCTTAAGCCACCCCACCACACACACTCATGCACACATCATGGCAACTGGTGTGAAAACTGTGAGGTTAATATTGGGAAGAAATAATTTATCCAATAAAATAAGCTTCAGCAGTATTGATGGAAGGGAGGGCAAGAAGGAAGAGTTATGCATTTTCAAGGAACATGGGGCTTCTAGGGTGAATTGTTAGTAACAGCTGTGAAAACCCCACATCCCATTCTAACTCCTTTCATGGCTTCTAGTAGTCAGTACGTAACCTCCAGGAAACTCACACGGCTAGAGGGAGAGTTCTGAAAGCTAAATTACACCTGATAAAGACTCCTTAAGCTCGAAAAGTCAGATCTTGGAAGTGCCTGCTGTCTTTTAGCTTCTCACCTATGAGTACTGTGCAAACAGAGAGGCACTGTAGCACACAGCTGCATGAGTGTCACAAACTGAATACACTCGTAGCCTTGGTACCCAGCCAAGAAATGAAGCGCAGCTAGCATCACAGCCCCTCACTTGTGCCCCACCCCAGCACYGGCCCCTCCGAGAGCAGCTCCCACCTGACTTTCCCCATCACCTGTGCCTGTTTTGCCAGGCCCTGCTCTCTCCTTATGGGGATCAGAACCCATCCCCATGGCCTCCTGACCTGTCCCCTCTCACCTAAGTTACCCCCTTACCTGCCCTGTCTCCGAGTACAGTCATACCCTGAGACACAGGAGGTAGGAATCTCGACATGTGAATTATGAGGGGGCATAATTCATCCCAGAACAGAGGACACTCATGTGGCTTCTAGGCGGGGAGCTCACTGGCATCTGAATGCCTGTGGCCTCCAAATTCACATGCGAAATCCTCACATTGGGATGGGAAATCTTCAGGGAGTGATTAGATCATGAGCGTGGAGCGTGGGAGTGCTGTTAGACAGGAGACCCCAGCGCTCGCTCGGAGGAGAAATCAGCTTCTGTTGTTGCTGAGCCCTCAGCTTCTGATGTTCTGTCATAGCAGYCCACACAGAGGAGACAGGGCTCCTGGGAATGATGCTGCTGAGGTGTGTCAATGTGCCCCACACCCGTGTCCCGCTCAGAGGGCTTCTGGGTAGTTTCCAGTTGGGGACTCTTGGGAAGAGTGCTGTGAGGACGTTTTGCCCAYGTCTCTTGGGGAATAGATGTTGACATTCCCAGTCGGTGTGTTCCTAGGAGTGGAATTGCTTGGTCACAGGGATGCCTGTGTTCACGTTTAGTAGGTGCTGCACAGCTTTTGTGAGTGGCTGGCTGCACCCACTAATGGTCCCCCTTTTCGATTCGCTTTTACAGTGGGTGCCACTCATGGAAGAAAACTGCAGGAAACGCTCAGAAGCTTCTGGAATCCGCCTCCCCGCGAATTTCTCTATCAACCAAATCTTTTGCAAGGCGATATCAGCAAGGAACATCAACCGCCCCATGCTTCAGGCAGCTCTTGATCTTAGAAAGAAGGGTAAGGGTCCTGTACTGGCCATTCTCTGACCTGACCATAGCAGGACCGTTGGCAGGGTGAGCGCCATGGATGACCAAGTGTGTTTTTTGAGATCACAGATCTTCTGAGCCTTGACAGAAAACTGTTCTTGAAACATGGCCCACTGCAAGTATTATCAAACATCAACAAACAGCACTATTAGAATACCCAGAAAATGACATAATTTCATCTAATCAAGCCGTTGATACCAGTGACTGTCTTGTGAGCCAAATCCTCTCCTTCCAGTAGTACTAGTGATGACCCAACCTTTTGTCCCAGATTTAAAAACAMGACCTTTTAAGCAACCATGATTTTCCCAGTCTCTGGGTGTCAGAGTAGCCAAGCCAAGTGACCCAAGTCTAGATTATGTCACATGATCTAAGACACAAGGTCATGCTCTTCCAGTATTTATTTAGTGCCCATGTCTGGCTCCTATTCATAGGCATGTTTGAAATTGTCCCACCCTATTACCAGTGGACTTTAGCAGCTGTGGCTAAGTTATCTGTCTTAGTTCGCCTCGTGCTGCTATAACAGCATACTTGAACATGGGTAATTTATAAAGAAGATTGATTTCTTACAGTTCTGGAGGCTGGGAGTCCAAGATCAGGGGACTTTGGGGTTTTCATGCCACATCATACCATGGTGGAAGGCAGGGGCAACAGAAGGCCTGCAGGCTGGAGACCAAGATATCTAATTTGTAGCCTCAAGCCATTTTATAATTGGGCACTAATCTATTCATGAGGGCAGGGCCCCCCTGGCCCAGATCACTGCTCCTTAGACTCCTCCACCCAACGATTTAGCATTGGGGGTTAAGTTTCCAGCACAAGCTTTTTGACGAGCATGTTTAAACTGCAGCACCATCTCATGTCCATCATTGCTCCCTCATATTCCATGGAAAGGCCTCACCTTGTGTCACATCTCCGACATCACCTGGTTTTCAGCCTGGCTGGCKGGGCAGACCAAGCCAGGGGACCATGCTACCTCTGTTTCTGTTTCTCTGTTTGGACGTGGGGATGCAGCTCCCGAGAGCCAGGAAGGTGCTTGCAGCCAKGCAGAGTTGGCAGTAGCAGAGACGGAGCGCTGGACCCTCCCCAGCCCCACGACTCTGGCCACTTCTACTTGTCTGAGCTTCAGTTTGCAGTGGCCGCTCTGCTCACGGGTGACTTTGTGCTTAGGGTTTGTGACCTGCATCCTCACCAACAACTGGCTGGATGACAGCGCCACGAGGGACAGCCTGGCCAAGCTCATGTGTGAGCTGAACCCACACTTCGACTTCCTGATAGAGTCCTGTCAGGTTGGGATGGTCAAGCCCGAGCCTCAGATCTACAAGTTCCTACTGGACACCCTGAAGGCCAAGCCCAGCGAGGTATGCAGATGCTTCCTTTCAGGGAAAAAGAAGTCCCAGAGATCCCGTAACTGGAGGAAAAAGGGAAAGGTTACAGGTCGGGCACATKTAGGGCCTGGCAGGGCAGGTCCAGGTCTGTTTCTCCCAGTCTGGGACTTCTCCTAAGGGACTGGTACCTGTCCTTCAGTCTAGAGAGTTCTATCAGAGGTGAACACCTGGCCCCTGGGAATCTCTTACAGGACTTGAGTAGAACAGGTATCATCTAAAGCTGTTAGACCAGCTTCCAAGATTATTTATGAAGAGCCAGAGACCCTGGGAGACTTTCCAAGGCCACGTGGGCGATCAGGGTCACCCCACCTGAGGCTGAGCAGGGAAGGGTCCCCAGGCTGCCTCAGTCTCCTTCTAGGCACCTGTGAGCCCCGAAGCCTGTCTTTCATACTGTCTCCAACGTTTTCTAGCTAAGACACCGTTTTYACTGTGGATTCCTAGGCCCATCTCCTCGGGTGATTGCCAAAATTTAATTTAGACCCTCTCTTGCTGACTCCACCTCAGACCCTAGACCCCACCCCTGGGGACCCTTGCCGTGCTCCCAGGACCCTTCCTCCAGCAGCTGCAGTTGGCAGGGAGCAGCTCCAAGGTGCCATGTGCCCCTGAGTCTACCAGTCCTCCCTTTTATAACCTTTGGGTGGAATGAGCTGCTTAGAATTCTGGGCTGTCCTGGTCCAAGATTATAAACAAACACACCCACGCTTCCCCCCCTACAACTTCAAAAGTCTTTTTTCTTTTTAGATTTAAATCTGTGACCCATTCAGAATTGATTCTGGGGTGACATGTGACAGGGGGTCTGCTTTTTCTCCAGTTAACCAAGCAGTCACCAAGGCCCTGCGTCAGTCCTCCTCCTGAGGGGACACGACTCCCCCTCAGAAAACAAATCCTCATTTGCATTTGGGTCTATCTGAGATTCTCTGCTATTTCATAGACACTTGTGTTTTCTTTTCTAGAACCAAACTCTTCTGCTCTTGTTTATGACTTGTTTCACTGTCTGCCCTCATTAGAGTTCTTTTGCAGCTGCGCCAGGTCCGTTTGGACTTGTCGATTTTCCCAGGTGGGTGGTAGTATGTTCTTGACACGTGTCTATCCTCCTGAATCTTCTTGCAGCTTCAGAACTGGCTGAAACCCACACAGGTATTCTGTGGGCACAGGACTGTGGCCTTGTGCTCGTGTGTGTGCGGTGTAATGCTGGTGTTCAGTGGGCACGCTGGGAGGGTTCTCGAGGCCCTGGTGCTAGAGGAGCCCTGCTCGTGTTGTGGCGTCCTGCTTTCTGGTGTACTCCCGCTCACAGGAGTTTTCCTTGGTTTGACGTGCTGTTTTGGGTTCAGGTGGCTTTCCTAGATGACATCGGGACTAATCTGAAGCCGGCCCGTGACTTGGGAATGGTCACCATCCTCGTCCACGACACCAACACTGCCCTGAGAGAACTGGAGAGAGTCACTGGGACGCAGGTAACTTGTCTCTGAGGAGAGCGAGCTTCCTGCTGGTGTCTGGGGTGTCCACAGAGAACCCGGCTTCCCCTCCACAGAGGCGTCTGCGGCCCACAGTACAGTGAGCCACGCGGTCCCTGGAGAACATCTCCTCTCTCTGCGGTTGTGAGCAGGAAGCAGACAAGCCAAACGCCAGCATTTCAGCCAGGCTCCGTGCCCACTCAGGAACCAGGCAAGACAGGGACATTTGGAGCCTCCAGACCTCGCTGGTCCATGGACGTGCCCCTGGGCCTCAGGTGCCGCTGACCAGTTCCATCTGGCTCACGCCTTCTTGGCAGTCAGAAGGAAGCTCCTAGGTGACTTCTGTCCTTTACATAGGAGGATGCCACAGAYTTAACGTCCCTGACATCTGTCTCTCACATAGGAGGATGACACAGAGTTAAGGTCCCTGGGCTGCCTGGAGATGAGCAGCACCTCAGACCTGGTCACCTTTGTTCTCCTGGGTCCACCCGAGGTCCCTGACCACACCAAGCCCCGCAGGAGCAGACTTACCCAGCCTCTGGGGCGCAGGCCCTGGCTCCTGTCTGCAGGAGCTGGGGGAGGCCAGGAGTCAGGAACCCTGCTGAGCTGGGCACACTCCAGGGCTTCACGGCCATTTCCTCCAAGGGAGGCACCAGTCGGTGAGGGCCGCTGCAACAGAGTTTCACTGACCAGTGGCTTCAGCTCTAGAAGTCTGTCTGTTTCTCTCGGAGGTTAAAGCCCAGTACGGTTGGTTCCCTGGGGGCCTCTCTCCGTGGCTTGAGGCTGGCTTCTCCTCTGCACAGGTTTTCCTTTGATATCTGTGTCTAATCTCTTCTTTTGATAAGGACACCAGTCATATTGATTAGGGCCATCCTAATGACCTCATTTTACCTTAATTACCTCCTTAAAGACCCACTTCCCATCCAGTCATGATCTGAGGCTCTGTGGGGAAGGCTTTAGCATATGAATCTGAGGAGGGACAGAATAGAAAATGGTTTACTGCCCATCTTTAATAAACAAAGAAAAGTATACGTGTAACAACTCCACAATCTTGCACGAATTTATTTGGGAAATGGAGTCTATCTAGGCCCAAAAGGGAGAGAGACCGGTTGGTCAGGCACCAGCAGGACTGGGGAGGAGGCAGGGAGGGCCTCAGGGAAGGAGGCTGTCCCTTGTCCCTCACCGTTCCTGTCCTCCTTTCAGCTGCTCCACTCTGTGGCCCCTCCCGCGATCCCCTGCAGCCCAAGAGACGTGAGCCATGGGTACGTGACAGTAAAGGTAAGTCAGCCGGGGCTCTCTGACCAGGCCTGGGTGAGCCTCCTGTGAGTCGCCTGTGAAACATGGAGGGGAGTTGAACATCCACCGTTGATGAGGAAGGGGTTTCACCAAGGCCTCATTCCTGACAAAGAAATAGAAGTCAGAGACCCTAATCAGCACGGCCGATGTGGCCAAACCCCCGGGAATGTGGGGCCTGGCAGCCTGTGGGCGGGAGCCCGTGCCCATCCTGCCTGTGCTCTGGGCAGAGCCCTTCTCACTGGACAGGGAGAGCACTTCCTTTGTGTGGGGCACAGGCTGGATACCAGGAGCGCAGTGATGAACAAGGAGCCCCATCGAGGTGAAGGGAGGGACGAGGTCTTATAGTGCCCAGTGGTCAGGGCCATGGCAAGGCCAAGACCAGGTGCAGAGGGGTTCTGATTCCTGCCCTGCCAGCAGACCTCCCCCAGCTGCTGACCCGAAGCTTCAGAATGTCCTGACGGATCCACTTTGGGATCCTCCTTCATGTGTCTTTGGCTGCATTAAATGGGAAGAGATCTAAAGCAGGGGTCAGCTCAAGAGCAGGAGAAGGCCAGATAGACCAGGCTGAATCTGACTTTGCCATTCACTAAGCTCACAGCCGTGGGCCAGCTGCTGCCCACCCTGAGCCTCAGTAGCCACAGCTTCATGAAGGGATGATGACCTCACCTTCCTGTAGGTTTCTGCTTAGGATTAGATGAAACCCCACACCAGATCGCCAGGCACARGGCTTGACCCCTGCGTTCTCCACGGTCAGGAGGTGGAGAGTGAGCTGCGCTGTCCTCAGAGACCGTGCAGAGACTTGCTGACCTGGAGGATGACTCACATGTGTTGACGGAGCGTTTGCTGTTTGCTGGGTGCAGATAGAAGTATTGTGATGAATGAGGGGCCCTCTGTGACCCCAGAGGTGTCGCAGTCTAATGAAACATGTTCAAGCCCCAGCAGTTCCATCACAGGATGAAGTGCCTGCGCAATAGTTGTGCCCAAATGTGCTCAGAATGGGGCTCTGTGGGTGGGGACCCCAACTGGAAAGTCCACCCTAAGTGATAGCAGTGTAGCTGGTGGGTACCATGAAGGGGACCATGGAGGGCAGTGGGATTTGGACTATAAAAAAGGATTTTCTTTTTTGCTATAAGCTGCTGGTCAGCATCCTTGCAGTCACCCCTAGACCTCTGGGTCCTCCTGAAGGGGTGTATGTTTMATAAGGTCCCTTCAGATCTCAACTCCCTGGCAGGGAGGGAGGGAAGACTTGCCCAGGACTGGGGYGTGGGATGTAACCATTACTCCCCTCCACTGTGGGTAGGGCTAGTCTAGCACTTTCTCGCTGCTTGACAGTTATAATAGGTTCCTCATTTGACCTAACGAGTGTGACCGGAGCTGCTTTACCACTGTCTTCCCCACTCCACCTCTAAGAGCCGGGGCAGAGAACCTCTGGAGAGTCCCAGCTGGCCAGGCTATCAAAGCCTAATGCCACCTAAACTGAGTTGGTAGCCAGAATTCTCTTGTTCTGGTTTTACAGCCATTTTTTAAACATAAAAAAAATGATAGGAAAGTGCGTGCATTTATGAATTTCTCAGCTGAGTTTAATATGAGGCAGCAAGAGAATTTAATAGTTGGGATGCATAATAGAGGCAAATTAGGATCAAGCATAAACAYTATCACAATTTTCAACATAAGGAATTGAGAATTTAAAGTTAACTTCTGCCAAATGCTAATGGGAAGACTACAGAATATTTTCAGTGAATGGAATGTAGTTTGTGAAAGGGTTTGCAAGATGCATGCCTGATGTTTTCTTGAGCAAGAAACAAGCTTGTTTTGAATCACAAATCTTGCAGTGTGGGACACCAGCTTGGAGCCACTGAAATCCACCAAGTGGATAGTTTCCAGTGAATCTCTGTGATAAGACTCCATTACTCTCGTGCCTTGCCATCAGAATGTTGGAGACGTGCACTTTGAGGGAAATAGGGCACTTGGGTTAGGTATAACTTTGGTTTAYTTGCTTAGAGCCCATTGTGATAGTCAGGATGGGCTAGATGCTATAACAAGCAATCTTGCTATTTCAGTGGCTTCATACCAGTGTGTTTCTTATCTGCACCATGGGAGTATGGGTTCCTTCCAGCGGTCACCTAAGAACCTAGGTGCCTTTTCTCAGTGCCTCCACCTTCCTCAGGACTGGTGGTCTGCAGGACTGGTGGTACAGAGAGGGAAAGGGAAGGGGGGCTCAGYGTAGAAGGCCCTGGTGGGGAACTGTCTTCTGGTCATACCTGTTGGCCAGAACTCAGTCACATAGCCATRTAAGGTGGGGGTGGGGGTGCCTGGAGAATGCCACCTTGTGCCAGGAGGAAGGGAGAATGCAGATGTCGTGAGCACTGGTGGTCTCTGCCCACTCATGCAGCCCCAGAAAGGATTACAAATGTAGCAAAGTCCACCCCCGCAAGGCGAACACAGCTCCTAATAAAATGATCGTGGTATTCAGCATGCCATGAACATTCAGCTTTGTCCAAAATTAGCCCCCAGTTGCAAGTGCTGAAAACTCTTCAGAACAACCCAGGGAAGGGGAGGTCCCTCTGCATCTGTTGGTGTCCAGCCCTGTCACCTTCCCACCCTGAAGTGAGAGCTGCCTGTGCTAGTGCAGGCAGACCAGCACCCTGCCAGCCACCATCACCCAGCCCTGGGGTCCTCGCTTGGAAAGCGGGGTCCTGTGAGATCCAGCCACCTGCTGAAGTGGCCGTGCCAGGTGGTCTGCAGCAGGGGCGCCAGACCCGGTGGTCACTGTCTCCTCCCTCTCTTCCCACAGCCTGGGGTCCGTCTGCATTTTGTGGAGCTGGGCTCCGGCCCCGTGGTGATCTTCTGCCACGGGTTTCCTGAGAGCTGGTTCTCTTGGAGGTACCAGGTAAGGGAGACTAAGGAAGGCACACCCCAGGCAGGATGAGGAGAGGGGACATCCGGGAGAGGTGGCCAGTCTGGAATGTGATGAGGAAGTGGAGCGTCGTCTCCAAAGGGGCCTCAGTGGAGAAGGCTCCAGATCTCAGAACTGCGGTAGGCCCCACGGCACCTGAACCAGTTAGGAAAAGGCGGGTTCTTCTCATAAAATCTTGCTGAGAATCTTGGTAAAAGGTGCCCTCCTAAATGTGTCATTGATACAGTGCACAAACCCCACCGCTGTTCATGGCAGCCCTGCCTGRGGGCCCCTTCCAGCTCTGTGGTGAGGAGGCCAGGTAGTACCCTGTGGACTTTGGAATGACCCGTGTTAGAGCAGGGGCTAGAGGAACCAGTCTTGAAGGTTCAGCAGGACTGATGAGGCCGTGGGGCGGGTGCCTGAATCGTTTGTTTTCCAGATCCCTGCTGTGGCTCAGGCGGGTTACCGGGTTCTGGCTATGGACATGAAAGGCTATGGAGACTCGTCCTCCCCTCCAGGTGGGTTGGCTGTCCTGCAGCTGTCCTGTGTGGTCCGGCTTCTCCCTGTCTGAGCTCTCCAGCACCTGGGCTTTCCTACCCCTGGCTACGGTAGCCATCCTAAGGGGTCTGACCTGCCCTGCGGGGTCCTCTGTCTGTGCCCTCGGGGTTCACGAGTGCCCGTTCCCCATGCTCTAAATGAACTCGGGAGCCCCAGGCCTGTGCCCAGGGAGCCTCCTGCTGGTCATCAGGGGTACTGAACACAGGCTGCTCTGCCACCTGCATCACCTGTCCGGCCCCAGCCCCTGGMGCTGCCACTGTTCCCTCCAGGGACTGGCTCCTCCAGGTCCTCACATATGGAGATGGTATGTGCCCACTTGTGACAGGCTCATTTCACTTAACCTGACGTCCTCCAGGGTCATGCGTGTCGTGGCATAGTGCCAACCTTCCTCCTCCTCCTTAAGGCTGAATGCTGATTCTTTTTTCGGGGGACATACCTGGGATTGAACTCAGGACACTCCACCACTGAACCACACCCCCAGCCCTATTTTGTATTTGATTTAGAGACAGGGTCTCTCTGAGTTGCTTAGTGCCTCGCTGTTGCTGAGGCTGGCTTTGAACTTGTGATCCTCCTACTTCAGCCTCCTAAGCCACTGGAATCACAGGCGTGTGCCACCGCACCACACTTGAATGCGAGTTCGTATGTGTGCACACCACATTCTGCTTATCCTGAGCACCTGTGTGAACCTGACACACCTGAGTTGCCTCYGTCTTTTGGCTACTTCACATCATGCTCTTGTGAACATGAGTGTACAAATAAGTATCTGTGAGCCACTGCTTTTCATTCTTTAGGATATTTACCCAGAAGTAGAAGGGCAGGGTCTCATGGTGATTTGTAGGTCAGATTCTTAACCCAGTGTCTGTGGATCCCTGTGGGAATCTATCCAGATGGTCAGTAGATGACCTGGGAACCCGGAGTCTGTGAATGGGGCTATGAGCCTGTTCCCCGTGGTTAGAGTCCTTTGTTTTGACTAGTTCCAGTGGGTCCTCAGCCCCGAACTCTTAAGAGCCTCAGGCACAGAGGGCAGAGATGCAGAGTGGCCAGGCATGAGTGCAGTCCAGGTCCCTCCTGGTGTCAGTGATACGGTGGTGGACAGGACGAGTGAGCTGAGCTGCCATTCACCCCTTTGTCCCATTCTTCCAGTGGTGTTTTTTATAGAAATAGAGCAATTCTACAATTTATATGAAACCACCAAAGTCATAAACAGCAAACTCAATCTTGAAAAAGAACAAAGCTGGAGGCAATTGAGATCCCACTTCCTGATTCCAGACATTACTATAARTCTACAGTAATTAAACAGCACAGCCCCAACCTACAAACAGACACATAGACCAGTGGAACAGAACGGAGCAGCATCCACTTGCTGTCAGCCGACTCTGGACAAGGGTGCGAGAGTGCAGACGGGGGAGGGATGGTCTCAGCAGGTGGCAGTGGGGGACATGCACAGGAATGAAACCAGGCCCTTGTCTCACATCACACACACACAAAGAGTCACAAAGAACTGGAGACTTCAACGTAAGAAGTTTGGGGTTGGTTTGTTTTGCAAAGGGGTCCTTTTAGTTTGTTGTTATATTTTGAATCATGTGAGTCAAATGTATTTCTCTATTTTTTGAATTGCAGAAATAGAAGAATATGCCATGGAAGTGTTATGTAAGGTAAGAAGGATCTTTGATAACATTCGGAACATGTTTTCCACTCCAGGTTTCTGGATGGAAGCCAGAAGCTCGGGTGTCCAGTTAAACCCTAAGAAAGTGCATTGCACAGCATTGAGTGGGAATCCTTCCTGCAAGTTGGGGTGACTTTTCTAAGTGATCACCAACATGCATGAAGCGTTTAGTGTGTTTCCCGGGGAAACCGAGTGTTAGGCAGGTTAAGGCGGAATCGTGTGGGTCAGGTAGCGCCTCCACACTCCTCATCCGCCTCTCACCTTTTCCCTGTGTGTCCAGCCCTCAGCCCCACAGGGGGCTTTGGCGGCACAGCAGCAAGTCAGGGAAAAGCCCAGTTTCCAGACGAGCCTGTTCTTCCTTAGTCCCAGGTCTGCCTCTCCCCCTCTCCTGCTCGTGGTCTTCTGGTGACTCCCCTGCAGCCAGGATCTCCCCAGTGACCCTGAGTGGGACCCTCTTCCTGTCCCACTGCTGTCCACTCACCTGGACCCCCACTTAGACCTGTCAGAGTCTATTTTTGGTGTGGGCATGAGGGGTCACTTCAGAGAACTGCACCCTGAGGGAGTCCTGCTGCCCCAAACAAATGAGGTAAAGTGAGACGCTCCGGTCCTCCCAGGCCACCTGTACCATCACTAAACTAGGAATTTACCCAAGAGGATCCATCACATGTGCCCCCAGAAAACCAGACACCAGGGTTGACACAGCACTCTTTGTGCTAGCTACAAAGTGAAAACCACCCAACTGTCTATCAGCTGGCGAATGGACACACAAAATGTGGTCCACCCAGGGGCTAGACCATTCCTGACCAYGCAGCGGTGCTGAGGTAGTGGTGCACGCTTCCTCACGAGCGAACCCTGAAGGCATCGTGTTCAGTAGAAGCCAGTTACAAAAAGGACATGTTACATCTGAAATAGTTGGAACAGGCAAATCTATAGACCCAGAAATTATAGGAGTGGTTGTTTGCCAAGCACAGGGAAGGAAAAGGGAGGTGACGGCCAGCAAGTATGCAGTTTTTTTGAGGCGAAGAAGATTTTCTGAAACTGGATAATGGAGATGGTTTCACAACTCTGTGAATCTAATAAAGACCCCTGAACTGTCCACTTTAAAAGGGAGGATGTTATGGCATGTGAATCATATCAATAAAGTTGATGTTTTAAAAATTATCATAGTATTGTTAGTGTAAGATTTTAATAGTTAATTACATTAACTTTAAAGAGAGCATTACAGAAAACGGGATATTTTGCCTGCTGTCAAGGCCCATAAAAAGCATTTTTTCAACTCTATCCCCCACAATATATTGAAAATTCATTTTTTCAATCCCAATTCCCTAAATTTGCATGACAATACTTTACACAYTTTTTTTAAAGCTAAAGATCCAATTTTAACTTCACTTTTCAAATTAACAGGTAACATGGTGTGTTTTGTCCTATTTGCAACATGATGATTTGAACTGTGCATGCATTTTGGAATGTAACAGTAATATCAGCTCACATGGTTATCATTTTCGAGGGGAGAGCATAAACATCTACCCTGTACATTTCTTGGGAATACAGTATATCTTCATTATTTATAGTCACCTTGCTGTCCAATGGGTCTATTGACATGTATTCCTGCCATCTAACTATAACCCCGCATCCTTTGACTGATCATCTGCTCTCACCCTTACCCACCTCGGCTTCTGGTGACCACTGTTCTACCTCGTACTTCCATGAGATCAAATATATGAGATTCAGCGTCTGAGTGAGGCTGTGTGGTACTTGCCTTCTGTGTCTGCCCTGTTTCACTTATCATAGAGTTCTCTAGGCTTGTATGTGTTGTTACAAATGACAGAATGACTTTCTTTTTATGGCTGAAGAGTATTTCTTTGTGTATGTGCCACGTTCTCTTCATCCATTCAACAAGTGTGATTCCATCTCTTGGCCACTGAAAATGGGTGTGCAGAGGTCTGACTGGCTTTAGAATGGGCACCTTTACGGAATCTGTCAGCCCATTCCCTGTGCCTCTGTAGTCCTAGATTTCCTGGTTGGGAATGCTGGAATGCAGCATAACCATAGTATCTCCGAAGCCCATTAACATGTAGAGACTTGTCTGCCCCCAATTTTCTTTGTGTGACCTTGGGTGAGTCACTTACCTGTGGCAGGTCATATGCTCAGGTGTAAAGTGCAGTGAATGGTTGGGCTACGTTTTCCCAGGCACCTGCCAGGTCTGAGTAAGATTCTGTGGGCTCTGGTGCGGGGGAACACTGAACTCATTCAGCCTCTGCGGTGGACTGGGAAGAGAAAAGACGTGGCCATGTGCCGTTAAGTGGGGACATGTCRTCTGTGGTGTTCAGGATCCTAAAGGGCCATGAACTCCTGGAAGTGTTTGCAGAATTTGAGAAACAGGCGCCCATGTGCGTTTCCAGGGAGAGGATCCAGGATYTTCACCAGAGACTTCAAGAGGTCAGAGGGGACGGAGTGACCACTGTCGCTGGGGGGAGGGGCAGGGCTAGCCTGGCATGTTCCATCCACTGTTCATCTGTCTTTTTGAATTAAGGTCCCCTGAGGTCAGGGGTGTGTTCTGCCTGCTGCCACATCCCAGTGCTCAGACAGTGCCRCCCTGCAGGCTCTCGGTGTGCTTTATTGGTGGGTGTGTGTTTTAGGTTGCTGTGGCCCTCTCATCTCTCAGCTGTGGCTGTTAATTCAGGGGGAAACTGGCCAGGGACAAGGGGAGATGAAGAAAAGACAAATAGACACATAGAGAGGAAGACCTGGGGCCCGGTGGTCAGCCAACCTCTGATGGAGTGTGACTGACYCAGAGTTAGCTCAGCACATTTAKTATATAGGYTTTATTATATATAAACTTCATCAAAGTTTATCTGTGAGAAAGTTTCAGAAAAGCAGACTGACTTGAATGTTGCAGTGGAATTTGCATGACATCCGTTCTTGTCATGCCCAGAATTCTCTATCCCCGGGAGTGGGTGCCCGAGCTGGAGTTTCAGACGGATACAGCTCTACATCTTYGTATCTAGACTTCTCAGGCTGGCGTCACCATAGCAAAGGGCCATCTTAACTTGCACTTTTGCACAGGAAGTTCCCAGCACAACGCAGCCATGAGACAGAAGCGATGATTCCAATCAGTGTTCTCCACCCAGGTCTGGGAGCTGACTGGGTCCCGCCTTGAGGGGGGGGCGCTGGGGAGGGAAGCAGTGGCAGGGCACGTGCTCCTTCCTGGCAGGATGAGGGCATCATGTCTTGCCAGGGTGATTCCACGCTTTTGGCCTGGCTGGGGAGCTTCCTTGGTGAGTTTTCCAGTGGTGACACGGGCAAGCCCTGGAGAATGTCTATTAGCCCAGACCCCTCTTTCTGGAAACCATTTTTCCTGGGACCAGTGAAGCTGTGAAAATGAGGCTGTAGTTAGAAATAAAAATTTGCATCGCCACAGGGGCACTAAAGATCTACCTGTCCTGGAATTATTGACCTTAATTCCACCTTGCCCCTAATCAGCCACTAAAAGTTGCTGAGAAGCAAAATCCCAGGCTTTGAGTTGCTCCCACAGCTGAAAGGGAGAAGGTGCTGCAGAGATGAGGCCCCCAGACAGCAGCATCAGGTACTTGGGCAAGGGTGAGAGCGAGTTTGAGAACCCCAAAGGTAAAAGAATAAAAGGGAAAGTCAGGAGATACTTTGAAGGAGACGGTAGTGCTGGGCGAAGGGCTTTAGACAGGACCATCAGCTGGCGTCCCTAGAAGGAGAATGTRAATGGGTTCCTGTGCTTATATGAAAGGCGAATCCCATCCCTCATATTCTGTGGCTGATGGGGACTYGGGTCACTCTGTCCACTGTAGCTGGACCAAAATTCTGCACCCTGCCTCCTGCGAGACCCTGAGCCTGGAAGACTCTCCCTTACACGGGGACACTCCCTCAGCCTGGTCCTCACTGAGAACCTCTAGTGTGCTGCTGCCATTAGGCACCTTAGGAATCTCTGGAGAACCCTCAGCCAAAGTCTTCTTTGGTGACTGTCTCAGGCACCCAGGGCTGCCATGACACAGTCCCACTGACTGCAGACACACATTTCTCACAGTTCTGAAGGTCGGAAGTCCAAGCTCAAAGGGTCAGCAGGTTGGTTTCTCCCGAGTCCTCTCTCCTTGACTAGTAGATGTGTCTCCTTGGTTTCTCCCTGTGTTCCCACCTGGCCTTTTCTCTGTGGGTGTCCATGTCCTGATCTCTTCTTATGAAGACACCTGTCATATTGGAATAGTCCCACCCTAAGGACTTCATTTTTAAAGACCCTGTCTTCAAACACAATCACAGTCTGACTAGGGGTTAGGGCTTCCACCTAGGAATTTGTGGGGCATGCCATCAGCTCATGGCACAAACACGGTAACCAGGATCTTGAGGAGGATGGGGTGGGGGGTGGATTCGATTTCTGATTTTGTCTGTTTTCTTTCTTAGGAAATGGTCACCTTCCTGGATAAGCTGGTAGGTCAATGGGCACAGCAGGTGTCTTTGGAGAACTCTGTGTGGCCTGGGGAATTAYGGAAAGGTGGCCTTTGCCATTCAGCTGTTGGCGCCATTGAGCAGAGATAGCCAGGGCAGGGGAAGGGCCCACCTGGGGCAGCTGGGGAGGAGAGTGACAAAGACTGACAGGGAGTATTTGGAGGGCAGCGTGGGGTARGCATGCTTCTCTGTTCCAGGAAGTAGAGGGAAGTACCTTTGCTGGGCTGGCCAGGGAGGAGAGCCTTGGGTACCAGGGAAAGGCACTGGAAAATGTCCCATAGGCTATGGCTTCACGGCTTTGTGCCATCATGTACTCTGACAAATCTAAGGGCTGACGCCTTCATTTGGCATCGCTGGCCACGTCAATCTCAGTGATGACGAATGGAATGAGCATCACTGTTCCCCAGACCCTGCCCTGTCATGTCTTCTGCCTCCCCAGATTAGGCTGGGGGCAGAAAGAACCTGCAGGGCAGACTTGGGGACCGCGGCTATGCCAGGTCAGTGACAACAGAGGGACAGAGCAGAGAGAACCACAAGGCAGAGGGACTCGGCTTATTAATGAGATGTGGGGGTGGAGAGAAGACTCAGACCACCAACTTCCAGATCTACAGGGTGCATGGGAGGAGAGGAGCTGAGGGTCTGCCCTCGGCACGGTCTCAGCTCYGTGGACCGAATTGGGTTTGCAAGTGTCGTGTGGGATGGAGACCTCTAAGTGAGCATKGCCTGGTGCGGCTGCCCAGACCTCACAGTTCTGAAGGTTGGAAGTCCAAGCTCAAAGGGTCTGACTCTCTGTGACTTCTCACTACAAAACTTCCAGCTGTCTGAGAACATGTCCAACTGTGGAAAGAGGGGCTTGTGGGTACAGGTCAGTGGAATCAGGTGTCCATCTTTGGGTCATTGCTAGGACATGCATCAAGGAGCCTGGGCCACCTGCAGATCAGGTGGGCCTCTGCCTCCCATGGGGTGGTAGCTGAAGTGGTTGGAGCAGGTGAATTCTCTGTGGACAGTGTCCATTCAGAAGGAGGGTCCTGACAGCTGGGTTGCCAAATACTTGCCCTTGAGAGGCACAGGAGAGAGCAGAGCCCGGGGCACACGAGGCTGGAAGGCCCAGCACCACGAAGCCATGGGAAGGCAGTGGCAGAGGAAATGTCTGACGCTGCAGAAGAGCAGGGGGCTTGAGGAGGGGAAACCCACACCCACCGTTGCTGGCGAGCAGGGGCCTTCAGCGGGAGGGCACTGGACTTGGGGATGAGAGGGAAGAAGCCAAGCTTTGGGGACTTAGATGGTGCTTAGGGAGACAACTGGTGCAAACCACCATGAGAAGTTTGATGGTGTGAAGGAGCAGAGCACRGCAGGGACTATACCCAGGGACCACCAAGGTGGGGAGGGTCTGAACGGCCCTGGGGTGGCCGACTGGGGCAGCAGCTGGGGAAGAGGAGAGAGCCTGGTGTATTTGAGGGTGGGAGCCCAGGTTCCCTTTGTGAAATGGGTATTGAGGTTAGTGGAGGGGTTCCAGTCAAGACCTCGCATGGAGGTCAAGACCTTGCATGTCGTAGTAGGTGCTCATTAGAGGGGAGCTGTTGACATCAGCAGCAAAGCAGAAGGGAAAGGGGAGACAAAGATGCTTTTGGACTGGAAGGAGCACTCCCCAAAGAGCGAGGGTGGAATCGTAGTCTGTGAAATGTGAACGGGGAACCTGGGGAGGGAGGGTGTACCTAGGAGAGACGGAGGATTGTGAGAAGGTGACRAGAGGGAAGGAACTCGTGGCCAGTGGCCTCAGTCTTCCATGAGAAGAAAAAGGCCAGTGGGAGAGAGGGTGTGGGGGCTGGRGATGTATAGGGATGGAGGATTGGGGAGGGTGAACGTCGTGGGAAGCTCCCGAGGGGTCTGTGGAGACCCTGGGCTTGCAGGGCGAGGCCTTGGGCTCTCCCACATGGGGTCCCTCCTTTCTCTTCCACCAGGGCATCCCGCAAGCAGTGTTCATTGGCCACGACTGGGCCGGCGTGCTGGTGTGGAGCATGGCTCTCTTCTACCCCGACCGAGTGAGGTGAGCAGGCCACGCATAACAGGCGTCCGCAGAGACCGGACTTAAATGCCTTGAAACTGTCCCTCGGATCTTCCACCCACAAGTTCTTGAAAACTAATGGGTGATGTGGGAAAGTGGCCCCACCCAGATCTTCAGGGCCGTTGACAGGTTCACCAGGAGCTCTCGTCTTAGGGAGCAGCGCCTGTGCCTGTTACCGGTCCTGGGACAAATAATCCAGGGCCTGGTGGCTAGTGGAGATCCATGGCAGACTCTGAGGGAATAGGTGAGGAGGAAGGTGTCCGAGTGCAGGGGAGAGAGCTCCTCTGGGTGGAGTCAGAGCACCTGCCCTTCCATCCTGCCCCAAAGTGGCTAGGGGACGGATCACTTCACCTCTCAGGCCTGCCTCCTCAGCCACAGGCAGCAGTGAGACCTGGACATGGCGTCTCGCCCTCACCATCAGGCAGCACATGACCACGAGAAAGGCATTTCCAGTCTCCAGCAGCAGCTCCAGATGTCAGGTCTGGAACCCAGACAGTGGATGGCTTCGTGGCTGTACCCCTTTGGGGTGGCAAGTCACAGCCCAAATCGGCCTGAGCCCCACCTAGCGAGTRAGGTAAACATGGTTCTCAGCAGCCCTCTGCATCCCAGCTGATCCAGTTATTTTCTCAATAGCTAAGTTTCTGTCCAGAGAACTGGGTTCAGCCTCAGCCCCTGCTCACCTGGCCAGRTTACATCCAAGACTAAAAAGGATCAAACGTTTCCTAAAATATTCTTTTTATTAGTTGCTCATGACAATACAATGATCTTGACRTATCATACATTTGAATCAAATGGGGTATAATTTCTCATTTTTCCAAGTGTACAGGTTGCAGAATCACATTAGTTATATGGCCACGTATATACAGATTTTTTAAAAACTTCTTGTGCTCCTGTTCTGCTGATCTTCCTAACACCCCTACCCACCCTCGGCAATGGAAACAAGAGCTTGGTTCTTAAGTCAAGTTAACCAAACAGTCGCTCCGTGGGCAGGACATGTGCTTTTAGGAATGGACAAGAGGAACTATAGCGAGAAACTACCTTAAAGGAGATTAAAGAAAAAAAAAAAAAAAAACACCTTGTTGTTTTACTAAACTTAATCTCTCCCGTGGGAATTAAAAATTTGCCCAAATGACGTGAGATCCAAGGCCCCTCGGCGTGCTTGGTTTCCGGTTCCACTTCTTGTTCTCTGGCGTGTCCACCGTGGCCCTGGCAGTGGTGGCTGTCACTTCGGCTGTCACTGGGCAGTCTGCCGCTGCAGTCCCCAGAGGCGGAGGAACCAAGACCCTCTTCCAGGGCAGTCTGTGCTGGGAAACAGTCTTCTGGATGGGAGCAAACCTGTCCTTTAAGAATATTGKGACAACATTGACCTGCACTTCCCCAACCAGATAACAAGTGGGAAAATAGCCCCCGGATGGGAGTATCTCTTTCCATCCTTTGTTTGATTTTCTACTGAGATCAGCTCTGGGCTTATTTAGTTCAGGGCTGCTCACTCATTGGCCCAGGAAGACCCTTTGACATCCTTCTTGTCTTTGCCAATCACCTGGAGACTCGGCTCCCACCAGAGGCTGTGTTTTTCCTCGTTTTACAATGACAATTTTTTTTATATGTGGGGAATAAATTATGTGTGAAGTTTATTTTTTAACATATATTTTTTAATTTTTTAGTTGTAGTTGGACACCATACCTTTATTTTATTTATTTATTTTTATGTGGTGCTGAGGATCGAACCCAGGGCCTCACCCGGGCTAAGCAAGAGCTCTACTGCKGAGCCACAATCCCAGCCCCTGTGTGAAGTTTATTAAAAAAGAAAACCCTTTTACCCTCAGAATATTTATTAAAAACTAAAATTTTCTTGATCTGTGACTTAAGTAATGCTTAAAATAGGTTTGCTATTGTGACATTAGAAGCCTATAGCTGTTCATATAATTTATTTTATACTGTAAKCTGTACCACCCTCTATTGCAGCCACCAGCCATGTGGCTATCGGTCTTAAAATGTGGCCAATCAAATCGAGTTTACCATACATGAAAAATACCAACCAGGTTTCAAGGACATGCAAAAAAAAGAATTAAGAAAGAAATGTGAAATAGCTCATTAATGATTATTGATTATATGAATCATGTATTTTGAATTATTAATATTATAGATATCTTTGGTTAAATGTTAAAATTTAATCATTCTTTTTATTTATTTTATGGTGGCTAGGGGTAAATTTTTTTTTAAGAATTTTGTTTTTAGTTGTGGATGGACACAATACCTTTATTTTATTTGTTATGTGGTGCTGAGGATCGAACTCAGTGCCTCACAGTGCTAGGTGAGCACTCTGCCACTGAGCCACAAGTCTGGCCCCTCTAGGGATAAATTTTAAGTTTCATTTGTGGCTCAATTATATGACATGGGCCAGCACTGGCCCGAACCACACTGCTCCTCTCCCAGTTTATTTCCTTGGCCCTCCTGATCGCTTCTCCCTGGTCCCTGTCTCCTGCTGACATTGTCTCCTCTGATCTCGGCTGCAGGGAAGCTTCCCCAGGCTGGGTGGGGTACGGAATCCTTTCCAGACCAGGCCAACTAACTATCCTGTCAACTCTGCTTTCCGGCTGGGTCTCAAGCCCACGCCTTCTTATTCCTTCTCCTTGTGAGGGTGGCCAGGCAGCACTTCCGCTGACCTCTGTGCCCTGGACTCTTGCTGTGTCACTGCTGGATCAGTCTCCCCCCCCCATGACTCTGAGCCGGTCTCCCCTCTGCTTGGAATCCCTCATGGTTTCCTGTCTCACATCATCAAGTCCAGACTCGGGCCCTTCATGTCCAGGCTCCCACTGGCTTTTGTTTTCATTCCCRAACTAAACGCTGGGCTTCTGACCAGTCTCCTCCCTCCACTCAGTAGGACTGCAAACTTCGGTCCACTTCCAGCCCTGCTCCTGCTTCCTCAGATGGTCCAGTCAGGTGTTTTCTCCCCCAACTCTCTCCACCCTCAAAGGTCAAGTTCAAGTGCTCTCTTATTCCCGAGGCCCTCCATGATGTCCAGTTCAGTCCTTCTTTATGTCCTTTGGACWCTCATGGTGTTTCCTGCAATTCTATGACTCTATCACAGTCCGCCTCATGATGCAGTCATCTGCGCATTTCTCTCTGTGTCCTTATTAAATTATAATGGACTCCTTGGAGGAGAGAGGATGTGCTTTATTTATTTTATGTTTTCCTTTCCCTAGTCTATAACATGGAATTATGCTCTACACCAAGGAGACACAGTGAGTGGATGAAGGAATGGGAAAAAAGTGAATAGTGAATACATTCTTCAGTTGAGAGATCCAGCCAGGTGCTTGTAATCCCAGTGACTCAGGAGGCTAAGGCAGGAGGATCACAAGTTGGAGGCAGGTCTCAAAATAAAATTGGACCCTGCCTCAAAATAAAAAATAAAAAGAACTGGAGATGTAACTTAGTTGTAGAGCATCCTAGGATTCAATTTACAGCCCCCCCCCCAAAAAAAAAAAAAACTAGGAAGAGATCCAAGTGTCTACATCACCTAGTCAGTCTTGATGTGATGTGTGTAGTATGGGTGTGTGTTTGTCTTGGCAGGTAGGTGAGGAAATATTTCACTTAAGTCGGAGGAAAAATCCCACTGGTTTAGGAATCCAAATGTATCCGAGTTCTAATCCCATTATCCCACACACTTCTGGTGGGAGACCTGGCAGGTGTACTTTTTGACATGCAAGGGCCTTCCTGGTTCTTGTAGACTGTCCTCTTGCAGGCTTTCTGACTTCACGCCTCTTATTCCTGCAGGGCAGTGGCCAGTGTGAACACTCCCTTCATGCCAGCAAATCCCAAGGTGTCCCCCATGGAGATTATCAAAGCCAACCCAGTTTTTGATTACCAACTCTACTTCCAAGAACCAGTAAGTGTGGGGCATGGAGGTGACTTCTGTTTTTCCCTCCCTGTCCTCCCTCCTTCTCCCTCTTGCTTTATCTCTGTCCCCTTTAATTTTCTGTGTCATTAGTCAGAAGTGATTTTTCAGCCTGGCTTGGGTGCAGCTGGCTGCAGAGCTGGCTCTTTTCCGATTGGTGGTGCATCTCTGTGTGTTTGGGATGGTGGGAAGGGAGGGGCCTGGTTGGAGGGATGACTCTGCACTGGTTGTCCTGCTTCTCTGAAATTGAGGAGTAGGGGGTCTGCATGCTCACTGGGAGCTGCCCGCCCTTGCTTTTCTGGCTGGAAAGCTGGAGAAATCTGTCTCTCTTGGTGGAGACAGCTCTTGCAGCTCTTGGCCTGTCACCAAGGACTTAGTATATCTGCTCATGGAGAGCTGAGTTTTGCAATTATGTCATTGAAAACCAAAAGTCCTGCAGCGGGTCCCAAGTGTGCTGAGTGTGCACTTGGGTGCAGCTACCAAGTGTGTTCACCCATGCACCACAAGACGCCTGTCAAAGGTAGCCTCTGGACCATGGATGGTACGCATGTGGGGTGTCACTGCCACCTTTGATGGGGGTTCACTGAGCATCATGGTCTCCTGCTCAGGAATGGCAGAGATGCTTCCTCAACCTAGACCCTAATGAAAGAGCCACACACCCTGYGTGCTGAGCTGGACTGGAGAATGTCTCCCAACCAGGCAATCTGCTCTCCTGCCTCCTGGTTAGCACATCATGACTTCCATCTAGGAGTGCCTGCTCCCCTCAACCTGGCCTTGAAGCCTGTCCCAGGCTGGAGACTGCTTCCTCCAGGATGTCCCCCTCCTCCAGGAAGCAGTCCCACCTCCACCACGAGCAAGTCATCCCTGTGCTCTTGACCCTGCAGAGCTGTGAACAGGAGCTCCCGGAGGCTCCTGGAGCGCAGGGACTCCTCCTGCTTGGGCAGGCTCTGTGGCTCTCCTGGGGTAGAGTAGGGTCTGAATGTAGGTTCCCAGAGAAGAGTCCTAAAACCACATCTACGAAACAGTCTAGTGACCCGCGGGCCCTTGTCCTCGCACACTCTGAGGGGTCACCTTGTTTTGTTCTGTACTCGCTGCCCTCGAGAGCTCCGGATCTGTGCCTTGGGAGCAGGGCAGGAGRGTGGCCATTCATCACGCGGCAGCGCTGCTCTGCCCTTGGAGATTTCTGATGAAGCCCCGTGGGCCCTTAATTACGCCGCCGCCCAATTGTGAGATTCAATTCCGGTGGAGATCAATCGCGGCCTYCTGCAGCGTGCTGAATGCCAGGGAGAGGGGCAGCTGACCAGGACTGGTTCCAGGTGATCSATGCAGCCCTGGCCAGCCTGTGTCTCCCTCGGCCACGACTCTTATTTATGGAGGGCCGTCCCCAGCCCAGAGCAGCTGCTGTTCCTGAGCTGGGGGACGCATCTCAGGGCTTGGAGGGACCCACAGGGCAGGGGCAGGGCTTTGTCCTCACAGGGGCCTGGGTAGCTCCAGAGGGCCAGGAAGGAATCCAAGAGCTCAGAGGCAAATAACCCGTGCTCATCAAAGTCCACCAGGCCGACAGGGAGAGTGGGGTAGAGGTGAAGGCCAGAAAGAGGAGCAGATAAGAGCGTTTGCTCTCTGGCTGCCGCCCAGCTGATACTGACACTCATTTACAAAAGCCAAGGCTGGTGTTTAAGTCCCACAGACCAATGACAAATGCCCTCCTGTCTGACTAGCTGGTCAGGGGCTCCTCCTTTTGGCTCCTGAGACTGGAGTTAAGGGATGGACTTTAGACTGCAACACACGTAGTTTCATGCTCCAGTGCTGGCACTGATGAGCTGGGAAGCTGCTCCCCAGAGCCTCGGTTTCCTTACCTGGAAGATGGGAGTTTTGTAAGAATTAAGTGAGATAATGCTTGTTCTTACCATGCTTGATGCCTAGGAAGAATATCAATCCATGATCATGATCATCATTATCTTCTACATTCTTAACGTTATTAAGTTCTACAAGATTGTCTGTTTGTGGTCTGGTCTCCTCGCCATCTGTGGGTTCCTTATGGACACACGCTGTCCCTCATTCATGTTTTTATTCCCACTGCCAAAGAAAGGCAATGGCAGGGCGAGGTGGCTGGGAAGAAGAGCAGGAAGGAAGAGGCCGAGGGGGAGGCGGGCGCCCAGTGGGCCTGCTCCTGTCGCCTCAGTCCTGTGTGGGTCTGTGCCTCTTCTCATTTATGCAGTGACTTTCGCAGGGAAGGATACGTCCCAGGTGTTGTGTGTGGTGTGTTGGTTTGTGACTGTTGAGATCAGGGATACCAGCAGCGCCTCGGTGGCCCAGCCAGAGGAGGCAGTGTACCTGGGGGGGTGCCCTGCTGGGGTGGAGTCTCTGCAGGGCTCAGGGGCATCCCAGCTCTTGTCTGCTGGTGGGACACCACTTCCTCTGTGGTGTGGGCAGGATCGTTGTGGGCTCCCAGGGGTGCAGGTCAGCCTGGGGTAGGGTAAACTTCAGAGTCCTGTTGGGTAGAGTTGGGAGAGGACCCGGGGATCTGCTTTCTCACCAGCTCCCAGCGAGTGGACACTGCCGCTCCCAGCACCAGCCCCCAGCAGCAAGGCTGCCCCGCCCAGCAGCTCTGCCTTCGCTGTATGATTAAGCATTTGACAAGTTAGGGACTCGTTCCCCAGGAAAATGTGCATGCTAAATCCTGTGGCAGCTTCAAGGTGCTGCAGACTTCCTGAAGCCCCCATTAAGGATCCCTGACTATTTTGTTAGAACACTCCCTCTCCATCTTTATCCCCAGGTTAAGGAGTCTCAGCGCATCCCCAGCCCTTTCCCCTCTCAACCCGCCCACCTGAGTCTGCTCCTCTCCCGGGGCCCAGCTCCAGGGCTGTCCTTTGCTAAAAGCTAACTGCAGTCTCTGGGCAGCCAGGTCTACTGTGCCTTCCCCTGCGTCCTGTAAGCTGCCTTATCCTCCACGTTTCACCACCTGCCTCCCCCTCCAGCACACAGAGCTCGTTCTCATCTCTACATCCCCCACAGAAACTGGCCCATCCTGGAAGCCCCATAAGCATCTGATAGGTGAATTAATGAGTATGGACTCTCCACACAGAGCACYGGTCAACATGTCTCTGACATTTAAATCTTGGTGTGACAGTCAACTCCTCACCCACATTACCACAGCATCTTTTTTTGCAGTAGATATGTGTCTTATGAATGTTAATTTCAAAAGCACAAGAAAAGGAAAAAGGAGTGGAAGAGAAATTAGCAGACACGCAGCCCCACACCCTCCCCTCCTTCTCTGCTCCCCATCCCCTGCAGCCAAGCAGTCAGGACCCACAATTTGGCCTGCTGGACCTGGAAGGAATTAAGCAATGACATGTAATAACTCCTCCAGGGGCAGAAGAACCTGGTAATTTGTCATTACAAAGGATGCGAATCCAGCTCTTGAACAATGGGGCTTTGCTGCTCTGTTCTTTAGAAGACAATCCATCGGCAGCTTCTGGTCTATAATAACTTTGGTCCAGATCAAAGGCGTTGGATTTGAAGTTACTACAGCAAAACTGAGATGCTTGAACGCCCAGCTTTGACTCATCGTTTTTGACCTTCAGCCCTGGTCTCCTCAGAGAGTCTGCCGAGCCTTCTCTCCTCTTCACACCCTTCAGCCGTGGCCACCGATTGCTGTGCCAGCCCCTTCTCCCTTCCCTTTAGAGGGAGCATTGCAAGTAACACATTCTCATCGCAGGAGTTTGGGGGAACATCAAGGAAGCAGCACCATGAACCCACCTTGGGGAAGGGGGGTACTGTTAGCATCTTGTATTTTATTTCAGTCTTTTTAAAAATGTGTCTCGAAACGGATACTCAAGTTTCATATGCTAATGAGACTCAGGCTGCGTGGGTTGGGGCTTCGTGCTTTCATTCAGATGGGGAAGGGGACTGGTTTCCAGAATGTCGGGGGTCCTTCACTTTGTCTTCTCGACTGTTGTAGGGTGTGGCTGAGGCTGAACTTGAAAAAAACCTGAGTCGGACTTTCAAAAGCTTCTTCAGAGCCAGCGATGAGGTGAGCAGTCAGGGAGGAGGGGCAGGGCGGGAGGGGGCTGCTCTGAAGAAGGGGCTACCTGGGAGCCACAATTTGGCTCTCTCGTCTCTGACTTCTGTGGTCAGGATGATGAGGGTCCTCACTCTACTGTTCCCTTGTTAGTTGAGAAAAGTCACATTCTCACCGTCACACCAGACCAAGCAGTGATTGTAGTCGTGATGGTTTGGAAATCACACCATGATCACTATTACCATCTTAATATGGGTACTGAGTTATCCAAGTCCCAAACTAACCCTAACCCTAGCCCTTTCTTGAATGCCCCAAAAAGTTTAGAATGCTTCACCTCCACAGTGCACACCTCCTGCCTAGCATCCGAGGTCTTCCTCACTAGTGTTGTGTGCACAGTCGGTGCCTATTAGGCTTTCCCGTGTCTCCAGTTTCTCTGCTGGTCACGTCTTCACCTCTCATTCATACTGTGTTAAGTTTCTTTTTTCCTGGAGTGCCTCCTTTGGTAGTTTTCTCAATAAGTCTGTTAGCAGACTGTTGGGGCCTTAAAATATCTTTACTTTTGCTTTTGATCTTGAAGAATGGTTTATCTAAGTATAAAATTCTCTSTGTTATTGCTTTTGAGAAATCTGTCTCAGATGTTCACTCCTCTGTATTTACTAATTGTCTTTAGGTAATGAATTGTCTAAGACACTATGGTGTCTAATCTACCATTTACCCTTCTTTGAAGTTTAATTTTTAATTTCAATGAATAGCTTTTTTTAATTTATGAAAGCTTTATTTGGTTCTTTTTTAAAGCATTCTGATTTTTTGTGGTTTTGTTCTATTTTTATTATTCAGTTCCTTCCTTTGTATATTTCTTTTGGGTGGGGGGGGATACTAGGGATTAAACCAAGGGGCCCTTGACTACTGAGCTACATCCTCAGCCCTTTTTTGTATTTCATTTAGAGACAGGGTCTCCCTGATTTGCTTAGGGCCTCACTAAATTGCTGAGGCTGGCTTTGAACTCGAGATTCTCTTGTCTCAACCTCCAGAGCCACTGGTATTATAGGTATGCACCACTGCACCCCCCCTCCTTCTTTGGTGTCTTTAACCATTTCAAGCATACTCATTTCTCTCCCTCTCCCTCTCTCTCCCTCCTTTCCTTTCTCTCTCTCTCTCTCTCCCTCTCTCTCCCTCTCTCTTTCTCATTATCTACTGTTTTTTGGAGAGTCGAGTCTTCTTACTATTTGCTGTTGTCTCTTGCTCTGGGTGTGCTGTCTCTTGTTACATGTGTGTGAGTGTGAGCTTTGTCATCTTCGTTGGGTGCTCATCTTTAGCACCACTTAGTCTGTACCAGTCTCCTCTCTCTGGGTTGAGGAAATGACCCTCTTGAGTGTCTGAGCATTTCTTCTGCCAAGCATCCTRTGGTGTTGCCAGTTACACCTCGGGGTTTCCAGATCATGCAGACAGTGCAAATTCAGATGCAGCACGTGTGAAGGCAAGCCTGTAGCTATGAGTCTTAGAGGTGCTCCTAGTACCGAGCTGATGTGGATAAACTCCTTTGAGATCTGCAGGATGGGAGGATTTTTTCCTAGTCCTCCCCGCACCGTGTTTTTATTGGTGCATTACAGTTGTTCATGATGGTAGGATTCATCCTTGCACACAATATAGCAATATAATTTGGCCAATATCATTCCTCAATCCATCCTTTAACTGAGGATCCAGCACACCAAGGACTCCAGACTTACTGGATTCACTATGGAGGGACAGGGGCATCTCGTTTTCACATCCCTTCCTGCTGTAGGCCTGAGATCTCATCTGTTGCTCCCTTTGGTTGACAACCCCAGGACTTGACATTACCAAGATCTGTGAGCAGCCTTGGTCCAGAGTCCTAAAAATGTTCCTCTCCCTCCTGGGGGCTTAGCATGTTCCCACGGAGTGGTCCCTTCTCACCCATCATTTCACTTTCTGTGGTTTTCAGTTGGTCACCTGTGGTCCAAAAATATTAAGTGGGAAATTCCAGAAATCAATTGTAAGTTTAAAATCGTGCACCATCCTGAGTAGTGCAATGACGTCTCACGGTGTCCCCAGGGATATGGATTATCTCTGTCTCTCATAAGGTGTCTTGGGAGTGAAAGAGGACACGATCTTGTGACTTATTACCGTGTTGTTGTAATCAGTCTGTTTTATCGTTGCTGGTGTTGATCTTTAATGAATCAAGCTTTATCTGAGGTGTGCACGTGAGCAGTGTTCACACATCCTGCCCTGAGGCCTTGGGACGTGTCGCCCACTCCTCAGGGCTCTGCTGTGGTGCTCCTGTGTTTTGTTGTGACAGGGCTTCCCCGATGACCTGCTTCCGTGCCTGTTTCGCTCATGACACTCCTTCCAACTCTCCTTCCCGCAGGGCTTTCTGGCTGTGCACAAAGTCCGAGAAGTGGGTAAGAGTCCTGCCTCGCAGAGAAGGGTCAGCCGGACACTGCGGTGGCAGAAGCCCGAGCCTCCCTTCCAATCCTGAACTTGGCTTGTCCAGCTAATGTCCCTGCAGGGTGGTACTTGGTGCTCACTCTGACCCTGACCCTGGCCTGGTCACACCACCTCAGGCTTTCCTCTGGGACCAAGATCTTCAGTAGCTGGAGCTCAAAGGACCTTTGGAGCTTGGCTGGGATAGTCCGCCCTCTACTGAGGAGGACGTGAGCCCAGGCCAYGGGGTCACCTGTCATGTGCGAGGAGGATGGGACTAGACCCCACCCTCGGTCCTGGCCCCCCAGGTATTCCTTYCCCAGGCTCCTTGCTCCAGCCATTCTGCTCCCTCCCCTGAGGCTGCCCTTGTTCACCCCGGTGGCTGGATGTAAGTGGAGCTCAGGTGGGAGCTCATCCAGCCTACACCCAGCACTGTACCCACAAGACCTTATATTCCCCCCAACATGATGCCCTTGCCATTATCCCCTTGTGTTTTATTAGTAGCGAAGATCACTGTCACTTGTCTAAGCGCCTACAGTGCGCCCCCGGCACTGGGCTCATTTATCATCCCCAGTGGTGCCGGGATGCTCTCTGTATCACACATGGAGAAGATGGGTCCCAGAGGGTGACGTGGCCAGGAGGRCCCAGCAGGGTTCACCCCTCTGATTTCCATCCTGCCTCCACCCTCTTCATCTGCTTGCTCATTCRTTTGTTCCTCAAATGTTCTCGCACACCCTGGTGAGCAGAGCTGGCTGTCGCAGATACGCAGGCACCATAAGCAGGGCGGGGAGGCAGATCAGCAGTAACAGAGTGGAGGAAACAGGCAGGGTGCGCAGAGGGGSCACAGGGCCCAGCGGGGCAGGAGCGCCAGCCTGTCACGGGCCACTTACCCTTGACCTACAGCAGGCAAACCTGGAGTGATCTGCCTGTGCCTCCAGGCTTTTGAGCCTGATAATGGTGAGCTGGTCCCACCCAGGCGTCAGTGTTGGTAGCCCTGGGGGCTGCTGGGAGGCACCACGGTCACCCTTGGGGCATGGGAGCTGCCAGGACACAGTGCACCTCTGACAACCGGATGGGACTCCGTGGTGAGAACCCACAGGAGGTCTGTGAGATCAGAAGGTAGCAGCACTGGAACCCCCGGCCTGGGTTCTTCCTGGCCAGGAGGGAAACCAGACCAAGCACCTGTGGATTCGGGACTCTCTGAGGGACGGAGTTAGTCCAGCTGTTCAGAAAAGGCTCAGTCCCCAAGGGCAAGTGGGAGTGGGGGGCATCGGGGCCCTGAATAGGATGGACGTCTGCCTGATCAGTGTCATCCTGGAGCTGAGTGGTGGGCACATGCTGGGAGCAGGGGTGTGCTGAGGTTTGTTCCAGAGCAGTGGTGGCAGCTGGCGACATTGAGGCCAGTGTGGGGGATACATCTGGGCCTCAGAGTGACCGTGAGATCACAAGCTTGGTGCTAGAGTGGGCATGGGCTCAGTGAGAGCWGGAAGAGCAGCGATGCTCCCTGATGGGATGTGAGAGGCGCAACCTCCGCTGGGAGCCCCAGCCGCAGACCTGGATTCCTGGCCTGCGACTGGAGAGAAAGCAGGTGGTTTCCTGCAGGAGGACTCTTTGTGAATACCCCGGAAGAGCCCAGCCTCAGCAAGATGGTCTCGGAGGAGGACATTCAGTTCTATGTGCAGCAGTTCAAGAAATCTGGCTTCAGGTAAAGAGGACAGTGCCCCACCCAGGGGCGAGCTGGTGGGTGGAGAAGGAGGCTGGCTCAGGGTGGGGACCCAGCTCCCCTCCACCGCAGCCCCCAGGAGGGCCTGGGCAGCCTCTGCTTGAATGCCACAGGGTCAGAGGCTCGCTGCTGTATGTGCCCARCCTCCTTCTGGGTGGCCCAGCTGCTCTTTCTTTGTGGCTGTGGGTCCCAGCAGATCAGAGAGTTTAAATTATTTTTCAGTCACAACTCCTCTGAGAATCAGATGGTAATGCTGGTTCTGTCTTCAGAAAAAAAAAAAAAAAGTATATATATATATATAAATAAAAAATGGCATACAAAGTGCACCTCTGTCACAGGCCTCTGACACCATTYCACAACCTCCCACTGTCCCTTTGCAGTGGGTTCCTGGAGCAGGCCAGTGTCTTCTGGGTGTCGAGGGCTGATCCAAGCTCCTGCCCTCAGCAGCCTCCACAACCCTGAACATGTCCCTCCAAGAGCCAGGGTAGTCCCACAGGGCCAGCTCCCATGGGTCCCAAAGCCCCCTCTGGCTGAGCTCCTGTGGCTGCACCGGGCCCTGCTGGGTAGAGCTGGGCGAGTGTGCCCCATGCCAGGCGTGAGTCCAGAGTCTGTCCTGCCCTGCAGAAAGCTGGGCTCCCCCCAGAATGGCTGGCTGTGTGCAGCGCRGGCTCCTTTTGGGGAAAGAGCGGTCAGGCACTCATCTTCTGTGACTTTCTGATCCATTCTCCAGAGGTCCCCTCAACTGGTATCGAAACATGGAAAGGAACTGGCAGTGGGGCTGCAGGGGCTCTGGACGGAAGGTGAGTGCAGTGTCCTGCCCCATCCATCCCCGCCCGCCCCTGCTGCCCTCCCAGGAGCTCTGGGGCTTCTGTCTGCCCCACCTGGGGGGAACCTGGGGGGAACCCGGTGGGTGGACAGACCTGCATCCTGCTCCCTTCTCCTCCACTCAGGAGGCTTCCCTGGCTGATGTGCCTCTCAGACGGTGGAGGGTGCCCAGGTCTCCTGGTGGTGGCCCRGGCCAGGATAGCACGTGGGCCAGATGACCACAGGGTGACGTGGGTAATGGAGTCCCAACCACAGAGGAGCACTGGGTCCCCTTAGAGAGACAGGTGTTAGCCTCTTGTCATGTTTCCTTTGGTTTTGTCTGAGTCTCGGTTTTCTCATTTGTTGAGTGGATCTCTGGTGGGAAAGGAAGTAAGTTTCCATCTTAAATGTTAAAATCTAGAGGAGAGCTGCACTCCCCCCAGCAGGACAGCACAGGGAGTCTGGGCATGGAGTGGACGTCCTGCCGTGCCAGGCAGCAGGCCAGGCCTCGGATACTGTGGTTGATGCAGCAGGGCTGGCCCTGACCTCCAGAGTAGGTCCTGAGACCACTGAATGTGCAGCACAGTGGCTAGAAGCATGCTGGGAAGCAAGTCAGCCCACCTCTAATTCCTGTGTGATGTGGAAAAAGACACTTAACCACCGGATCCACTGTTGCCTCTTCTGCAGTGAGGAAATGACAAAAATAAAGCCCCCCATCCCCAGCTGTGCATGGGCAAAATGCATTAATGCATGCAAAGTGTTAAGAACAGTAGGTGGCCTGTCGTAGTCATTCATGTTCATTGTTGTTATCACCATTGTAATCTCTAACTGGTTGAAATTACCAAACTGCAGTTGGATAGGCCAGATCTCTGGTGACCTGGACACAAGTAAGAACAAAGGTGTTGGGAAGGTGAACCCAGACGGTGCCATGGTTGGGAACTCCTTTCCTCTAGGGTCACCATCCAATCTTCCTCACACCTCTCCCTCATCTTCTCCTGCCCTGCCACAGTTGACAGGGGCATTCTAGAGTTTACAGAACCCCATAGCAGTGGCTTGTGGTTAGTTCCAGCCACAGAATCCCTTCTGCATTTCCTTTAGTTCCTGGAACATCATGGAGGAGGCGTCAGGTGAGGAACACATTATTGCACGTAGGTGAAGAAACAGCAAATCCCCAGCACAGCCACGCCCAGGCAAGGGAGAGTGGTGGGTGGGACAGAGCATGGCCACGCCCCGCTGTCAGGTGTGGGAGAGTGGTGGGTGGGACAGAGCATGGCCACGCCCATCTGTCAGGTGTGGGAGAGTGGTGGGCGGGACAGAGCATGGCCATGCCCCGCTGTCAGGTGTGGGAGAGTGGTAGGTGGGACAGAGCATGGTCACGCCCAGCTGTCAGGTGTGGGAGAGTGGTGGGTGGGACAGAGCATGGCCACGCCCAGCTGCCAGGTGTGGGAGAGTGGTGGGAGGGACAGAGCATCGCCACGCCCAGCTGTCAGGTGTGGGAGAGTGGTGGGTGGGAGAGAGCATGGCCACGCCCCGCTGTCAGGTGTGGGAGAGTGGTAGGTGGGTCAGAGCATGGCCACGCCCAGCTGTCAGGTGTGGGAGAGTGGTGGGAGGGACAGAGCATGGCCACGCCCAGCTGTCAAGTGTGGGAGAGTGGTGGGAGGGACAGAGCATGGCCACGCCCAGCTGTCAAGTGTGGGAGAGTGGTGGGAGGGACAGAGCATGGCCACGCCCAGCATTTGGGTGTAGAGAGTGTAGGCAGTTCACAGCTTGGGGAGGTATCCAGGACCCAATGTGCCCTTTGTTTGCAGCAGATCAAGGCCAGGTCATTTCTATTGCTCTKATTCCACATGGGCGACTGCTATGGYCCCACCTGCCTCTGGAATCCTGGTCGCCCTTTTAAGCATTTAATTCAGAAAAAATGAATCTTGACCTTCATTCAAGGGCATCTTTCGTTCCTAGTGCCATCGAATCAGTTTCACGAACATCAGTCTCAGCGGGCCAGCACATGTTCTGACAGATGTCCCCACACATGTGTTGGTTGCTACATTCTAAATGCAGCATCCTAAAGATCTCCAGAAATAACAATGACCTGTCCTGCAGAGCTCGGCAGAAACATAGCCAGGCCCCCAGGGGCGGCGACCAGGGTCTTTCCCAGGGGTTTCAGAGTGGAGAWCTGCCCCAGGGCATAAAAGCTTGGCATGAGGGGTGGCAGAAGGCAGCCTGCTGGCCACTCCTGTAGCCCATTCTCTTCCCAGATCCTGATCCCAGCCCTGATGGTGACAGCAGAGAAGGACGTTGTGCTGACCCCTCAGATGTCCAAGAACATGGAGGACTGGGTGAGGGAAAGGCCCTGCATGGGGTTGGGGTGTCCTGGGAGGGACAGTAGCAGAGGACACATCTGTCCTGACAGACGGGAGGGTCAGCTGAAGCCCTGCCCTGATGGGGATCATCGCTGACATCACTGTCCCTGTTTGGCTGGCCCTTCCTGCCCCTCACTAATGTGGGCTCTTGTTCTGTTCTCCGTCCTTTCCTGGGTAATACAGGGTTCTGGGGGTGGGAGGTGGGGTGGCCTTTAGGGAGCAGCGAGGAAGGTGCGCCCTCCCCGGGGGCCTCTGCTGCTCTTTGCAGCAGCCTGGAGCCYCACCCACTTGCGTCCTGCCGCTGACCTTTCTGGATGGGTTTTCTTTCAGATCCCCGACCTGAAAAGGGGACACATTAAGGATTGTGGGCACTGGACACAGATGGAGAAGTAAGGAGACTGGGGGCCCCTGGGTGAGGGTGAAGCAAGATTCTCCATTCACCTTCCTGAAAAGCCTTGCAGGTTTCTTTCTGCCCTGCTCTGCCTTACTGGCCGCTCACCCTACACCGCTCCTCTTTGGCACAGAAGAGAGAGTTCAGAGTGTGAATTGCCTTTCATTTCTCTTCCAGGCCTGCTGAGTTGAATCAGATCCTCATTGAGTGGCTGCAGGCTAATGTCAGGAACCCACCAGTGATTTCAAAGATTTAGCCTGTGGCAGTAGCCGGCAGCGCTCCATCTGCTGGGAAGCCCTGTTTGTATCCAGATGTGGCCTCCTGTGCACCTCTCAAGACCAGTGGCTTTGTTCCAAGGGATTTGCCCAAAAGTGGTCTTTACATGAAGTTAATCAAATATGCTGTGATTTTAAATCCAGGAGGAATCACCCGTAGATTACCTGGGTACGATGCATCATCACTTCATCTCTGAGGATGGTTAGTGCCCTGAATGCAGTACCCACCTGGTCACGTTGACTGACCAATTTATAGTTTTGCAGCCAAGTCTGCAGTTCATTTTGAAGTATTTCAGCAGAGATTGGGATCCTTTACTCAATAAATCTAAGATGGCTTTGCTCCCGCTCTCTCTGTGCTCTTGGGAGAGTGGGCCACTATTGGAAGAATGCTGCTTTCTTCATTATCAGAAACAGCTGCATTCGAAGGAAGCTTTTCCTCCACTCTTGGGCTTTGCCATGGTCTCCAGGGCGCTGCATCATCCAGACCAGTTTGGCCATGGGAGCCTTCTGGAAGGATGCAAGTGGTCTGTAGCAGCTGGCCTCCGGCAGCCCTGAGCCCTTTCAGAGCTGGCTGAATGTTTCCATAGCAGAGTTTTCTCAGGTAGTGATGCAYACTTTGGGTATTTAAAATGTGTAGTGAGACTAAGGAAGCAAATTTTAGATTTCATTTGATTTTAATTAGTTTAAATGCAAAGAGACCCCTTCAGTCAGCTGCCACTGCAGGGCTCAGTGCAGATGTAGCCCTGTCTTTCCCTCCAGCCTCTCCTTTCTCTTGTCACATCATTAGGCACCAGGTCACACTCATTTGGTCTCCTGCAATCATCTTGTCTGTTTCCCATTTTGGATGCCAAAACCCTACAGCAGCAGCCTCCTAAAACAGGTCAGATCTTAAACGCTGCAGGTCGGATCCTCCCAGCTGCCTCCAGGATCAAGCCTGGCCCCTGTCACTCCCACCAGGCCCATCACTCTAATCCAAACTTCCTCCAATGTAGCTGTCCTTGAATCTTGCGCACACTGGTTCTCCTTGACGCTCCAACTCTGATGGTGCATTCTTTTCTGGAGTYTCCCAGCTGCAGTCCCCTCCACTAAATCTCAGGCTGGGTCCTGGGTCCTTCCTACCCCAGCCAGCATTCACAGATAAACACATACTTTCCTCACTGCACTTTGTGCAGGTAAAGCCATCCGAGGAAGGGATCTCCCAGGCAAGTTCCAAATTATAATGAGCATAAGTTGACCAGGCAATGTGGGGGGGAGGGTGAAGGCAGCAGGGGGAGTCAGAATGCTAGCAGCATCACCTCAGCTCACTACCCCAGYGTGCCTGGTTTTACGTATGTCACCTCTGATCCCTCCCAAGGCTCCTTCCCATTTAAGAGGGGGAAACAGGTGCAGACAACTTGCTCAGGGTCACTTGGCAGTTTGGGGCAGAGCCTGAACTCAAGCTCTGTTAAGTTCTACCAAAAATCTACTTCCTAAATCTGAAGCCAGACCAGCTGGGTCAGACATCTGGTCTGCTGGGTACCTTGAGAAAGGGGTCCTGTGCCTCAGTTTCCTCCCCTATAAATAGGGGACATTGATAATACCTAGGCCATAGGGAATTGTTGGAACTAAATATGGTAATATACACAGAGTTTCAGGCCAGTGCTTGGCATCGAGTGAGTTCTGGGGGAAGGTTAGTGTGAGATTTCCAGTTGATTCCAGAGCAAGACCCACGGGGAATAGCTGTAGAAGCCAGACGACATCATTTTGCTAGTTGAATCTRTCCAAGCTCATCTGGGAGAGACCAAATGGGGGAAAGAAGAATCTTAGAACACCCTTCACAAGAAGACACTAAACAGGAAAATCTGTTTGCCCTGTTAGCTCAGGTTGAAAGATTCTGTCCATTAGCCCCCATAAACCATCAAAAGTTCCTCAAGGACATCAGAAATTCTACTCTTCTGGTAAATAAGAGTCCAATGAATTGAGTCCATAACATTGCCACGAAAATATAGCCAGTGGTGCAAGATGGAAAGCCCAGAGTGAGGCTAGCCTGGAAAAGGTCTCAAGGTTGTGTGAGAAAATACCCTCAGCTGTGTATCTGGGTCTTCTTTGGGGAGCTTTGGGCCATATGTCAACTGCTGCGGTTTTAGCAGCAAAAGGGATTAACCGGGATAGAAAGGGAAGATTTTCAGACCCATTTCATTTATGCTTGCTTGGAGTGTACTCAAAAWTGATTACAGAATGCTAGTTTTTATATCATCACTATAAAGGAATAAGTAACAAGCAAACTTACCTCTGCTACAAGAAATAAGCTTTTTAATAAGAGTAGTGGCATGCCACAGTCTTGGCTGGGCACAGAATCATGAGCCACCACACACCTTGTAGATTCAAACAGCAATTCTTTATTCCCGAACTCACACCAGCCTCTACACAAACACGTTCTGGGGAAATCCAAGTTCTGCCCGCACAATTCACGTCCCAAATACTTTCTCAATTCCACGAGAACTCAACAGGAACTCAGGCAGCAGGAACGCCCTATATCCAGCAGCAATAACCTTCAACCTGGAACTTCCCTCTAAACCCAGATTGTTTTAAACCGGGAACGCCTTAAACCC